ATCCTGTGCATGAATGCTAATGATTTTTGTGTGTTGATCTTGTATCCTGCTACATTGTTAAAGTGTGTTATTAATTCTTACAGATTTTTGGTGGAGTTCTTTGGTTCTTCTTTGTAGAGTATCATATCATCTGCAAATAATGATCATTTGAGTTCTTCTTTTCTAATATGCATACCTTTTATTTCCTTCTCTTGCCTAACTGCTCTGGTTAATGTTTCAAGTACTATGTTGAATAGAAGAGGTGATAGTGGGCATCCTTGTCTTGTTCCTGATTTTAGGGCAAATTCTTTTAGGTTTTTCCCCATTTAGTATGTTGCTGGCTATTGGTTTGTCATATATAGCTTTTATCATATTCAAATATGGTCCTTCTACACCTGTTTTCTTCAGGGTTTTTATTTTTTATCATGAAGTGGTGGTGGATTTTGTCAAAGGCCTTTTCTGCATCTATTGATATGATCATATGGTTTTTGATCTTGCTTCTGTTTATGTGTTGTATTATATTTATTGACTTATGTGTGTTGAAACATCCTTGCATCTTTGGAATGAAACCTACTTGATCATGATGTATGATCTTTTTGATAATGCACTACGATCTATTTGCTAATATCTTATTGAGGATTTTTGCATCTATGTTCATCACAGAGATTAGCCTATAGTTTTCTTTTTCAGTTGAGTCTTTATCTGGATCAGGGTGATTCTGGCTTCCATAAATGAGTTTGGGAACACTCCATCCCTTTCAATTTTGAAGAGCTTGGGGAGTATTGGTGATATAATATCTTCAAAGGCTTTGTAGAATTCAGTAGCGAATCCATCAGATCCTGGGCTTTTTTAGTTGGTTGATTCTTTATTACAGTGTCGATTTCATTACTTGTTATTGGGTTATTATCATATTTATGTTTTGGGGGGTTAGTTTTGGTAGTTTGTATGTATCTAGGAATTGGTCCATTTCTTCAAAACTTGCTAATTTGTTGAAATATAAGTTTTTGAAGGAGTTACTATCTTCTGGATTTCCACAGTGTCTGTTATAATTTCACCTTTTAAATTTCTAATTGCATTCATGTGAGTCTTTTCTCACCTTCTCTTGATAAATCTGGCTAGAGGGTTATCTATTTTATTTATTCTTTCAAAGAGCCAGCTCTTTGATTAATTGATTTTTTAAAAAACTTTTTTTGTTTTTAGTCTAAATTTCATCGATTTCTGACCTCAACTTTATAATTCCCTTAATTTTGGTTTGGGGTTGATTTGTTGTTGTTTCTCAAGTATCTTAAGATTTTTCATAAAGTTGTCTATTTGAGCTTGCTCTGTTTTCCTAATGTGAGCATGATTGCGATGAATTTTCCTCTCAGGACTGCTTTCATAGTGTCACTTAGTTTTGACGAGTTATACTGTCATTGTCATTAACTTTCAGAAATTTTAAAATTTCTCCTTTGATTTCTTCTGTATCTCATTGGTTGTTTAGGAGTATGTTGTTAATTTTTCAAGAGCTTTGGCCTTTTCTGAGATTTCTTCTGTTGTTGATTTCTATTTTCATTGCACAGGGGTCTGATAGTATGCATGGGGTAATTGCTATTCTTTTACATTTCCTTAACCAGGCTTTGTAGACTAGTACATGATTTCTTTTGGAAAAAGAGCCAGGTGCTGCTGAAAAGAATGTATACTCTGTTATAGAGAGGTGGAATACTCTCTATATATCCATTAAGTCCATATGTTCAAGGGTGTGGATAAAAAAGTAGGAGAGATGTAAAGGAACAAGGGGAAATTCCCTTACCCTCTATAAACTATATTGGGAGGACAAAAAACAAGAAGAGAAGCACACATGCACAGACATCCTCATAAAAGATAAAAAGGGTAAAATAATGGAATAAAAGTGGGGGAAGATGCACAGAAGGAGGAGAATAGCAAAAAGTAAAAAAAAAAAAAAAGTAAAAATAAAAAATGAAAAATAATACAATTGAATAAAGAATAGTAAAAGAAAGTTTTCTATTCTTTTGGACGTGTGGCTGTTTCCCTTAGCCTAGGATTAAGGAGCAGAGCTGAGCCCAGGGCGTGTCTTTGTTCATGCTGGAAGTCTAAGGTGGCTGTCTGCCTCCAGAATGGTGCTGGATGTAGAGATCTACTTACAGTGGGAACATGCTGCCAATGCGAACTTCCAGTCTTGTGTAGCTCAGGCTGAAGCTGACCTCTGACCATAACAGCTGGCTCTGTGTTCCCGAGCCCCTGCTTCTCAGTGAGACTCCCTCAGTCTGATCTCCAACTGCGGGCAGTTTCCCATGACTCTTTCCCTCATCCACTCTGGGAATTTGGCAGCGTGAAGCAGCCAAGGGACTGTTCTGGGACACAGGTTCAAACACTCAGCCTTTCCTTACAATGGTGTCCCTGCTAGCTCCTGCTCTGCATGACTCTGGCCTTGGGTGGTTGTACCGAGGTCACTCACCAACTGTTGACTGTGGAAGGCAACTTTGGAAGCAATGTTTTACGTTCTCCCTGCTGGCTCCAACTGCAGAAGACACACCCAGCTCTAGTGCAGTTCTCCAGTTCTTAGTGAGCCAAAAAGTTGTTAGTTTTAGTTTGCCTTCCAACTGGTGGCTAGCTAGCTGATGTTGGTGGTGCTGCATAGTTTCTCCTCTGCAATGTGATCTATTTCTTCTGTATCACTTAATCCTATTTTCTTCTCCTCTGTCAGTTCTCTTATGGTTTCTGTGTACCTTCCACTCACTTCAATTCCTCTCCAAGCTTACAGACTCCAGATATTTTGTTCTGGAGAATAATACATTTCTTATTGATGGCCAAAAAAAAAAAAAAAAACAACCCCACAAAAAAACAGCCCAAGATAAACAACTTACAGAAGGAAAGGTTTTATGTAGCTCATGGTCTGAGAGGATTCAGTTCATGGTCATTTTTCTTCAATACCTTGAACCTGTGGCAAAGCAAACATGGTGGCAGAAAGCATGTGGTAGAACAGAGCTGCTCACTTCATGGCATCTGGGAAGCAAAGGCAGAGGAAGGGTTGGGGTCCTCAGATGCCATCTGAGAGCACAGCCCTAGTGACCTTACTTCATTCTCCCAGGCCCCACTGCCTGAAGACTCTATAGGCTCGCAAAGCACCACAGGCTCCCAAAGTAACCATAGGCTAGTGGCCAACCTTCAACCCAGGAGCCTTTGAGGAACATTAAAGATCCCAACCATAACTCTGCATCAGGTGTACTACTTAGAACTTTCTCAAAATCAGAAGATGATATTTAATAAGAGGTTCTACCACCAGAAAAATAGCAGAAATAAAAAGGCCTTTTTTCTTCCTATTTGAATGATTTGTTTTTCTGATATAGTCACAAGCGCTGGTGTTTTCTGCTGAATTTAGGTTTATAGTTTATAATTTTGTAAAGTAAAACAGTATAGCAATGGATTGTATAGGGGAAACTTTTTACTGTTGACTTAGTAAAAGCAATAACTGATACATAAAGAATCACTAGGTAAATACTTTCAGAGTTGAATACAAGGACCCTTGCTGTCACTGGTAGTTTGGACTGGGAACATCCATGAGGAAATGAGACTCTCTTTGCCCTCAGGGAGCTCACAGGCTCTGCTCATAGATACTATACTCTAAAAGAATTCTTTCTCTTCCCCTTCACCTCTAGAAAGATTTTTGTTAAGTCAAACTTTTCAGATCAAGATGTTTCTGAAAATAAACAGTTTAGTGAGCTGTATAGATGCTAGCCAGAGGTAAGGAGCAGTCCTGGGACAAATTTCCTCAGGTACAGATAGTGGACAGATGTTAAGCATGGACAGATAGTGGTTGGGAAAATGTCTACTAGAACTAAAGGGCCAGGGCATTGTATAATGTAATTTTGAGGAGAAGACCCTAAGGGACAGGAAATGTGAAGGAGTCCTGGCGTAAGAGGTTGGTTCCTAAAGAGAAAGACCAGAAAACCTTGGATTGTGAGTAACTTGTTCTGTGAGTGTTCTGCAAGTTGAGCAAATAATTTTAACTTGATAAATGAGTGATGTCTTGCAATACCATATGAGTAGTATGTGACACTGAATGTCACATGATCACAATTGAGCCAATGGTTCCTTTCTGTTTCTCTTGCTGTGGGATTGTGGGTGATCATCACTCAACAGCAAGAGGTTATGGAGGAGATCTTATCTAAAGAGGAGGAGGAGAAAAGGGTGGAGGAATCCTTCACTTCAGATGAGATTAGGGAGATGTACAAAACAGTGGAAAATTTTGTAGAAAAGCACCACCTGAATAAAACTATAGTAGTGAGAGCAATGAATCTGTTTAATAACAGTGCAATGTCACATTTCCACAAAATCCTCAAAATGAGGCAAAAGCAAGTGGCATTGATAGGTTCCTTGTTAAAATTGCATAAAAAGAAAAAGGTTCCATTGAACTAGCAGGTAGCAGTGATTCCATTAGTGACAGTGAAGTTGTCCTACACAATAACCCTCCTCTCTCTTGTCTCTCTCACACTGGCCATGAGGGTTTTCAAAGGTAAGAGCAGGTTCATTTGTTTATTTTTCTTTATTATTTTGTATTATGTTAGAGTATTATAATCATTTATATGAATATTTTGGGTTATGGAATGAATCATCTGAGTTTCCATTAAAAACACTTTTTTAGGTGCTTTGGATTACAAGAATGTTTCCAGAATGAATTATGCCTGCAAACCAAGGTTTGGCTGTATTTGCTACTACTTGGTTAGTTTCGAAACCAGAATGCAGTGTGGCTTGGATTGGTCATCTTCAGCTCACAGGAAAGGAATGTAGAGCAGGTTGTTTAGTTCCAGTTTTAAATGGTCTTCTCTTACCCCTTTCTTTCTTCTATTCTCTGCCCTGTAACGTCGGACATCTCAGAATTTGTCTCCATTTATAGATGAAAGAATTTTAAGATAAGAATAAACTCAAGCGAAAAAAAGAGGTGTAGTGTAAATACCAACTCAAGAAAGGCATGTGAAAAACCACATCAGACTCTGTACAGGAGTAATTAAAAATAATTTTTATTTTAACTTACATGATTGAGTGATGATATAAATGCCACAAAACTAAAAGCACCCCCGTAACCAAAAATAAAATGCAGAAGTGAATACAAAAGATATGGAATTAATTACTCATGCAATATTCACAAAAAATTTAAAAATGCAAAAAAACAATGGGGGAAAAACCCTGTAACACCTGCGATTTGATTTTCTTTAAAAAGAACTATTTCAACCACTTAACATAAACCATAGACAATACACACTAACTATAGACTGTACAATGTACCTTTAAAATGAAAGATATATGCATATATATAATATTTATAAATATACAAAAATATATACATTATAACTTCACAGTTGAAAGAACTATTTTGTCAGAAGCCTGGCAAACAGTTTTTACTTTAAAATGAAATGAACCCTTTTTAAAAGTCTTGCTAAAATGGAAATATTTAAAATGGCATCTAAATGATATTCTATACAAACACATCAAGAATACAACTGATACTCCACAGTTTAAATTACACTCACGCACACTGTTTTGATACCTTGGCATACCCCAGCTGTATACTCTTTAGAGGAAGAGAAGTTACTTAGTGAGAACTATTCTGAAAGGTATTGTAGCCCTTGTTGAATGGACTTGCTGCTGCTATGTTGAAGTCATACTGGGAGCTGCTGTTGTAACTATTTGGGCCAGGCATCCTACCTAATAGTGAAAGATTTCTCTAGGGACAGTTTCCATTCCTTAGGACATCCTCTTCCTAATCTCATGGTCATTTTTATAGCAGCAGGGACCACTTTTTGTTTGTTTGTTTCTTTGTTTGTTTGGACAGGGTCTCACTATGTGGTCCAGGCTAGCCTTGAGCTTGCAGTGATCCTCCTGCTTCAGCCTTCTGAATGCTAGGATTACAGGCATGCAGCGCTGTCCCTGGCAACAGACCACATCTAATGTCCCTCTACTCCTACCCCATTAGGATTCCTCCAATTTTGAGGAGGCCAAAAAGCCTCAAAAGCCTCAAAGAACATCACAGCTTTCTGAATCCATAACTTTTGGCTTTGATTTGTCTTAGCAGCAAATTATCTGTAAGGTAATAGTATCCAAAAAATGACTTTTTAATTTTAAAAAAGCTTAAGATTTAAGGTTTTTGCTTGCTTTTAAGAGTATAGATATAATCTTAATAAGATAGTTCTTAGTCATCTACCTATCTTTTTACTGTAATGAAAATATAATTTGAGAATTTCATTTATTTATGTATTTATTCATTTATTTAGAGACAGGGTCTCCCTATGTAGTTCAGGCTTGAACTCACCCTGTACCCCAGGCTGGCCTTGAACTTGTGATCCTCCTGGCTCAGCCTCTCAAGTGCTGGGATTATAGGTGTGTATTACCACACCTGGCTGATTTGGGAATTTCAGGATATTAAAGAGAAACAAGCATACTAATGGGCACTTAAAAAAGTAAAATACAAAAGTTAGACTCTGACAATGGGTTATTTTCCCAGGCTTTGTAGGCAAGCTTGTATTTGAAGAAATTCTTTTTTTGTGCTTTGTATTTAAAGTAAAATTAGGTAGCTAAAGGACCACTCAACCCTGAGAACATGACAGAAAAACTGCAAGGCATATATTTATTGAAATATCGCATGACTATTTCAAGCTTATAGAAGAACGTCCAAAAAGTACAAATATGGCTATTTTAAAATTCCATACATAATCAGATGCACTTTTTTACTTAGTATTGTCAGACATAACCAACAATGTAATCTATTGAATATTACATAGCCCTGTTCTATTGGCCAAAGAGAAAGTAGAAAGGTACTGTGAAACCAAACTCTGAATGCTTTCTGTAACATGTCACATTTCCAGACAATCTCAGCAGGACTTTTCAAGTTCTTGACACTTTCCAGCTAAATTGCAGCACCTTCTTGGTGGAAAGGGCTAAATTTAGGACAGTAGTTAGGCAGAGTTAATTTATAATTAAAAGGCTGTGGCTACTTCAGTTCCATGACGACCTCCAACTTTAATATAGTCTCGAGGAAATTTATCCAACTGTTCGTAAGCCAGCCGTCCATCTTCTCCTAGATACACAACATTAAACATGAACTCAACATTTTTTATTCAGCACTCAAACTGACATCAATGGTTCAGGTATGGAATGCTACTTTGTGTCCCCATTCCTCTGACACTAGATTGCCATTGTAAGCCATTTGCTATGTTAAGGAAAAGTCATCTATTATTCTTAATTATGTCACTGATTTCTAGGTAATGTTTAGAACAACCAAGAACTTCTGAGCCAATATCAGAGATCAAAAGAATGCCAAGGTATGAAACAAAGCAGAAGTCCTGAGGTGGTCTGTCAATACTTTCACAAACTAGATTTATTCCAGGATTATATGTCTTTTTTGGGTTTTTTTTTGGTACCAGGGATCAAACTCAGAACCTTGTGCTTGCCAGGCAGGTGGTGGAACCACTGAGCTAAATCCCCAGGCCTGTCTCATTTATATTAAATGTATGAAAGCCTTGTTCATCTTGTTGCTGTATTTTTTCCCTCCCTTTTTGTTCTGTATTATTTTGTTTTTTGGTTCTGGGATAGGATCCAAGGCCTCACTCATGCTAAAGCATGCACTCTACCACTGAGCTACATTCCCAGCCATTGTTTTCCCAATTCTTAAGCAGTTTTTTTTTAAATAGGAAAAACAGAGGGTTGGAGATTTAGCTCAGTGGTGCTGCTGCCTGCCTCGCAAGAGCAAGGTCCTGAGTTTGATCCCCAGTACCAAAGAAAAAAAAAGAAAAGAAAAATAGAACAAAATAGCAAGTCATTTGGAAATATATCTTAGCTGTTCAAGATGTTGCTACAGACAAAACTGAACTAGGTGTTGCCTGGTAGAAAGCATCTCACTATGTTTAGAAGGCAGAGAGTAATTTTGTAGCTAAAGTTTTGAAGCCTAAATTTGACTTTTACAAATGATCATTTAGGTGTAACGATATGTAATGTAGACAACAAAAGTTATGTAGAAGTTAAATTCACTGAGGTCTAGAATACACTGAAGTCCCTACTGTACTTAACATACAATCAGGCATATATATATGAGACAAAGACAGAAATAATTAGTTGCTTTCAATCAGAAGTTCATTGTGAAGGGAAAAAAATCAAAAAGATTCGTAAAATGATGGAGATATATTGATATGAGTAGTTTCAGAAAAGGAGTATAATCATGGATTTTAAGTGTGTTGTGTACTCTCTGGAAACATGAACCTTTCAATAAACCAAAAGCCTAGTTAAATTTTTTTTTTCCACATTTAACTTTTCCAGAAATACGTAGAGAGATCTGATCTGCTGTATTTAAGAGACCTGTAGTGAACACTTCCATAAACAAAAGCCTGCTAATTATAAGAGATTTTTTTTTTTTTTTAAGGTACCGGGGATCGAACTCTGGTCCTTGCACTTGCGCAGCAGACCGCAAAACCACTGAGCTAAATCCCCGGCCCCTATAAGAGATTTTTATTAATTGCTTCTGCACACTTTGACAATTTGGAGGCAACACTATATTTTTTCTAGTACTGTGGTTTTAAACTTTTTATTACTTTAGCTTGTGATCCTTTATGTGAAACAAACTATGCTAAACTCTGCAAAACCTAAAGCAGGTTTTATTTATTTTTATTTTTATTTTTTGGTACTGGGGATTGAACTCGGGTTCTTGCGTGGCAGTCGACAGAACCACTGAGCTAAATCCCCGGCCCTTAAAGCAGGTTTTACATAGGACTTTCCAGTTGATGGTAGAAGAGATGAAGGGACAGGGGGCCCGACATGGTCTGTCTGCATGTCCACTCACACATGCCTATGGAAAGCTCAACTAACAAATGCTATTTGTTTTGTTTTCTTTCCTTGTTTTTCTGAGATGGGGTCTCACTACATAGTTCAGGCTGGCCTTGGACTCACTATGTAGGCCAGACTGGCCTCCAACTTACAGCAATCCTCTTGCCTCAGCCTCTTGAGTGCTGAGAGGCCACTATGCCTGGCTCACAACTGCTATTTGAGGAGCCACTGATACCAGGTCAATTCCTGGTCCACTCAGAGATAAAGTCCAGTTCAGAGGTGATCAGTTCTCTCCCAGAGTCCCACAGAGTCTAGGAACTTAGAGCATCAGGATTCCACCTTGGGCCCTGACTAGGTCTAGCTGTCCACTGGCAAGGTACACAGCCTCAGTGCTATAGTTTGGATCTTGAATGTCCCTGCGGGCCACATGTTGAAGGTTAGGTCCCCAGCCTGTGGTGCTCGTGGAAGATGGTGGAACCTTTAGGAGGAGGGGCTGAGTGGGAGTAGGTTAGGTCATTGGGGGTGTGACTTAAGAAGTCATATTGAAACATGAATTTCTCCTTCTCTCTAGACACCACGAGGCAAGCAGTTTCCACTGCATGTGATTCTGCTATGATGCTGTCATAGGCCAAGGGCAATAGCCAAGTAACTATGGACTTAAACCTCCAAAACCACAACCCAGAAATAAACCTTTCCTCATTTAAATGGATGCAGCCCGGGTATTTTGTCACAGTGATGGAAAGCTAACACACCCAACATGTCTTTGTGCCCCTCCATAAAATGGGACTAATTGTGCTTCCTCCTGCATGGAGCTCTTGGGAGGACCAGATGAGCTAACTTATATCCCTCAAAATAGAGCCTAGTGCAGGACAGGTCCTAATGCAAGCTGAGCATCCACAGCCTGGAATCCCAAAGCTGACATACTTTAAAATCCAAATCCTTTTGAACACTGACATGCCTCCACAAGTGGAGGATTCCACACTTGACCCCATGAGATGAACTGTAGTCTAAATGTAAGTGAATTAAAAAACTGCCCAAAATTTCCTTTAAGCTTTGTATAGAAGGTATATATGAAACATAATGATTTTTATGTGGGACGATTCCTAAGCTATCTTATTAGGTACATCCAAATATTCCAAAATGTGAAAAAATCTGAAGTTGGAAACACTTTTGGTCCCAAGTATTATAAATAAGGCATATTCAATTTGTATTACTATTGTGACACAGCCAGGGCTTGTGATATAGGCAGAGTTTTGAAGGTGAGAGTGCCTGGGTTTATGGTTCAAAGTTACAGCCATGCTGTCCTGGTACCTTGGTGAAAACTGTTCTGTCCAAATACAGTGGCCACAAGCAAGATGTGGCTATTCACATTTAAATAGTAATTGCTCAAAATGAAATGAAGTCAAAACTTTCTTCCCCCAGCACTGGAATGAAACCCAGGGCATTGCACATGCTAAGGTAAGTGCTCTGTCACTGAGCTGCATCTCCACTCCCAGTTACATCTTTAGTTCCTTGGCTACAGTAGCCAAGCTGAACTGCTCAGTAGCCACGTGTGCTTAGCAGCTCCCACAATGGACAGTGACATTCCCAGTATCACAGAGGGATCTACTGCAAGCTCTTGGTTGGAACATTAAAATAATTCCTCAGTAGTTGGTAAATAGTTGCTGCTGAGCCCTTTGAGTGCTTGTGATGACTTCTAGCCCTTTGGAACATGGTGTCTTATCAATTCTCACTGAAAATACCATTTTACTATATTAATTCACTTACTTGTGTGAAAGAAAAATGCACCAGTATTTGTGTATTAGGATAAATGAAGACTCATAATGTTGTCTTGAGGGGTTCTCAACCTTCATCACATGTTAGAATCACCTGGAAGGCTTTTAAAAAGTGTCCGAGCAGAGACGCAGTTCAGAATGGCACATGCAGAATCTTGGGAGTGGAAGCCAGGTATGGGAATGTGCAGGTTGCCCTGTCATACACTCCTGCTGAGAACCCTGCCCTGGTGGTGGGGTGAGCAGTGTGCAGAAGTTAAAGCCGGTCTAATGACCATTCTGAGATGCTGCTGTTTGTGCAACTCAGGTGACTCTTGGGGTACCAAGCACCTCTGGCTACACTTTATAAATGTTTGAGTTTTTTTTTTAACCTTCATTGTTAGTTCAGAACACTAAGGAAAAAAGGAGTTTAAACCAATAACACTCTGGGTATACTTAGAGAATTAAATAACTTCCATATCTAAAAAACAGCCATAGAAATTACTATTTTATCCTTTAAGCAAATATATTCTGGTTAAGCTTTCTGTGCAATAAATGATATATTCAACAGCAGAACGAAATCTTATTAAACCCATAATTGTAAGAAAGAAATCCTAACAATGAACGGGATTTCACGGCAGTTATAAATGCCATGAGTGTCTCCTTCACATAATTAAGATACTATAGTCAACTGCGGAGGCTTTATGCAGGTGACATTATGGACTGGATTATGTTTGAAGACTTTCAGAGTACAGTTTCTAGACTTTAAGACTATATGGGGAAGATAAACTTATTTGTAATAAATATTTCTATCTTTATGCAGAGTTAAGGAAAGCTTTTCCTACTCTCCCAAGTACCCTCAAAAGACTAAAAGTATGAAGCATGCTAAGCACAAAACTTTATAAAGTGAAGGGGGGAAAAGAAAGAAAAAAGCAAAGAGGAGGTGTTATCTGGATATTCGAGAACAGAATAAAGTTTTCAGTTGTTTCCTTGCTGCCAGGGCTCAGGGGGGCACAGGCCTGCAGGGCGATCCCTAGTTAGCCTGGTGGTCAGAGTGAGGCTGAGGTACATGGAGCAGGTAGTGTTCCTCAGATGCACTCCCTGGTCCCTCAACCAAACCTTGTCTTCTGGGGAATCCCAACTCCATACTGCCGATCCAACCTGCATTCCTGCTGCCTCTGCTTTATGATTTGACTTGCATGTCCCTTTTTATTTATTTATTTTTTTGAGACAGAGTTTCACCATGTAGTTCAGGCTAGCCTTGAACTCATGATTCTTCTGCCTCAGCCTCTTAAATGCTGGTATCAGGGTGCAGACTGGTGAACCCATATGAGAAGGGTCCAGAGAGTGGCCTGCACCCTCAGCATCCAGAGTGAACAGGGGTTGGGAGATGGACACTGACTAACTTCTCATCCTCTGCCTGCCAGTGAGTAGACAGCCCACAGAAGCAAGTGCTGCTAAAACAGGGTACACGAAACTTTTCCCTACAGTTTCCTATAAGAATACCAGAAGTAAATTCATATAAAAAACCGAACTCACCGAGAGACAAGAGGGTTTCTGAGGCCACAGTTCTCATTTCTTCAGTGTTGGATTGACACAAGTTCACCAGCATTTTAATGCTTTCGGTAGCCTACGGGGAAAATAGTTTTAGAGAGTATTCTGAGGTTCCTAAGACTTTGCATTTCATTGCTGGTAGGAACTTTAAAAACCTAACTTAGGGGATCCCAAACCAAGGTGGGTGTCAGGATCACTTTGGGAGCCCCTTAAAGTATGAATTCCTCACTGCCACCCTGGAGGTACCACACTGAGGTCCCCTGAGCTGGGGCCCAGGGCTCATGCTTGCAGGAGTTCTGCTGTAGCTAAACTCCTCCTTCCACAGAACTCCAGGCCTAGAGGACTGAGCTGATTAGCCTGCTTTTCAATTGAAACCCATTTTTCCTAGTTCTTCCTACTCTATCCCATTGGCTTAAAAAACAAAGTCTAATTTAAGAAATCCTATACATATACTGAAACAGCCCACTGTACTCCATAGATGCATAAAATATTTGTCAATTAAAAATAAAACCTAAGAAAGAACTCCTATTCTTTAGCTTATGTACTAAAACAGAAGAGAAGAATAAAAGTCAATGATGGGAATTCTATTTGCATATTTTACAAACATTTATTGAGCACTCTGTGAGCCAGGCAGTTCACAACGCTTGAGAGATTCTACAGTAAACCAGTTGTGGTCCTGGCTCAAAGAGCTCACAGTCCAGTGGAAAGGCAGATCGCTAAACAAGGAGTTATTGTAACGGCCAAAGGGCTGAGTCTGTGCTGGGGGAGAACTGGGAGGCAACCTGTCTAGGCAGGGACGTCTTCGTGGAGGAAGGCGTGTGTTAGAGATGTTGGCCAAGGTTAGACCCATTGTGGGTGTGTGGGAGAGTGACTGTGGAAAAGGAAATAAATTCTAGGCCAGAGCAATAGCTTGAGAAGTGCCTCAAATCCAGAAGTAGCCAGAGATAATGTATGGAGAAGGAAGGGTTAAATCAAGGAGAGCTTTATAAACCATGTTAAAGGATTTGGACTGAATTTTAAGTTCATGTCTGAAATCCAGGTCTAAGTCCTAATTCAATGATCACAGAAAGTAGATGTTCACCTGGGAGATCATATGTGTGGGGTTCTCGGAACCTTTATGGGCCCACTATTGAGGGCAGGTGGAAGAAACAGGGCTGCTGTCCCCAAGACAAAAATTCTTTTGCTGAGATGCTAGAGCAGTTGAGAAGGGACAATAAATCATGCTTTTCTTTCTTGGAGAAAAGCAAGGCTTATAAAGTAGCAGTGGTGGTGCTGGGTGCTGGGAGGGGCAAAGTGGAGGGAGCCCAGTGTGGAGGCCAGGGTGATTCTAGCCTATGGAGACAGATGGCAGACCTGAATGCAGAGCTCACTTGGCTTGAGAACCTGATCTCTCAAGGTTGTTTCTGGGCTGATTATAGAGAAGAAAAATGGAGAATTTCTGCTTGTTCTCATTAACTGTTTTAGAACATTGTGTTTCTTGACCTGTTGGCGAGGAACGACTGCTGGCGGGGGGTGAGAAATGATGCATTTTTCACATTATGCTGTGTGAACCCTTCCTCAGGAGCTGGGGCTGCAAGATGGTTTTGAAAGAGGTCTTCTATTCAGTAGCAAGGATCCCACCTCTTAGGAGGAAAGGAACAAGGAGGAATCCGGGTCCCCAGACCTGAGACACTCCAGGGTTAAAACTTGAGCCTTTGCCTTTCCCTGCACAACACCTAAATCCATAAAAATGCAGACAGGTCACTGTGTCTTCATTTATATAAAATCCAATCACAGACACCCAGTCCCTGTAAAAAGCATGGCCAAATCAACAGTCATCGCTGTGAGCTTTGTTTTTTTGCCACTTTGAAGGTAATTTTTTGACCAAGTAACAAGGAAGGCAAAGTTTCCCACAGTTGTTTTTCTTCACAGCTCATTAACTTTTTCTTTTGAGGCATTAATCCTTTTCTTTATGTCCCATTGGGCCTGTCTCTCCCTGCCCCTGTCCCACCAGCCCATCCAAGATTTTAGTCAGTTCGAAGGTGTGGTCTTCTCATTCTTCTCTCAAGGCTAATTAGTCTTGTTTATTTATTTTTAAAGGTAGGTCAAATATTAAAGTACCCATTGAAAAGTAAACTCTTTCTGCTTGGGAATTCTCAGCTCTTTCTTTTTCCGTTTACATTTTAGCTCTCTCCCACCTCACTAACACTGCCCTCCAACACAGTTAAGATAGGTTAGCTACCTAACAAAGAGAGCTTCATGGGAAAGGGCCTGGGAATTTAGTGGCACAATGAATTTTGATACTTCTTTGCAAATTGGATTTTTCCTTGCTATTTGTAGTACACAATATATATTGGTGAAATTACCCTGTCATCTTTATTTTAGGATGAGGTACTTGTCTAAGACTAACCCAAAGGCAAATGTTCCTGTGGACTCTTGCAAGACATTATTTTCTGCCATTGTTGACTTTAGTCACATGCAGTTACTGTTTAAGGGAAAAAAAGTAAGGATCCCACAACTAATAAACAGCCAAAAGGAGATGAGAGATACTGTGGCTAGGCTTTACCTGCAGGGTTTTCAGGGCCAGGCACGCTGCCTTCTGGAGCTCCAGGTTGGTTTCTGTTAATGTTTTGCAGTAATAGAGCAAGGCCTGAAAGAGAAGGAGGGCATCGTGAGATAGCTGGAATCATTTGGCATTTAAGAGGTATGTGGCATTTTCACTTTTTGCAATAAGTGACAGTGTAAAGGGAGGAATTTTGTGCTACTTTAAGAACACACCAAAAAATCCATTAAAATTCATGTTGATTATAAGAGCTATGTGTCTATGCAATAAACTGACCTGATACTCTACCAGGTCATGGACTCTGGAGATACGAAGTTGGAAGATGCAAAGTTATGAGTCTAGCTTTTTTTTCTTCTTCTTCAGTGATTGGTTCTTTCCCTTTATCAGTTTTCAAAATAATGAGTTAGCTCATTAGCAAACTCTAACACAAACTTTTATTTTTAAAATACGTTATTGTTTTTATATTGATTGATTTTTTTGAGACAGGGTCTTGGTATCTAGTCCATGATGGCCTTGAACTTGCTGTGTAGCCCAAGCTGGGTTTGAACTTGGAATCCTGCCTCACCTTCTCAAGTGCTGGAATTAGAGGCATGTACAACCACACCGGAATATTGTTTTTGTTTTTAATTGACACATATTTGTGTGGATTTAAGGTAAATGATTAAATCAGAGTAATTAGCACTTTTATCTCCTCAAATGTTTATCATGTCTATGTAGTAAGATCCTTTGGACTCTTTCTTTTTAGTTATTTTGAAACATCATAAATTACTATAGACTAAAATTACCCTACTGTGCTATAGAACACCAGGACCAATTCATTCTGCTAACCCAACTGTTCTGATACCTCTTTCTACTCCATTTCCCCCCTACTGAATCTAGCTTTTAAGGGGCCCTTTAGATCTGGCAGAAATTCTGTAACCATTTTGAAAGAAGTCAGTGAAGAAACACATTAGATGTGACAGCAAGCTACAGGATATCGAGTAACTCAGCTAGAGAAGAGGCATCTTTTGGAGCACCAGGGTGGGTTTCATGAAAATCTTTGAATTGGACCAGAAAGGATGGGTTTGGTTTCAGTTGGGAAACTGAGGGAGAAAAGGGCATTTGGACAGCAATAAGGAAGGCAGGAGCAGACAGGAAGTTCCAGTGAGAAGGTGGTGGGTTTGGCTGAAGGCTTGCTGTTTGATATGTAGCACGTGGATGCAGTCTTTCACAGTGCAGAGGGAGTAGCTCAGAGGCAGAGTGCTTGCTAGCCCATGAGAGGCTCTGGGTTTGAGCCCCAGCACTTCAGGAAAATGTTCTTAATTTACCAAGCTAATGTTTTCTTAAATGGTTTATAAAGTGGGTACTGCTTGTTAATTCAAATGGGTAAGAAGCACTATAAGTTATATATATATTTTTTATATAAGTTATATTTTAGTTCACAGGAAAATTTGAACAATAATGACTTTTGAAAAGCATGAGAGGTGGAAGGGGAGAACTAACTTTTCATCTTAGTAGGATGTACTGTACATATTTTGCTATTTTCCTGAATTATTTTATTTTAAAAAGCAGAACTTAACATCAGAGCACCGTGCTGAAATACTATCTGTTGGATCAATAGATGCTGTCACTCTGTCATTTATACAATGGTCTTTTTTAGATTTTTCTCCAGGGCCGTGTGGCTGGTCAAAGTCTTAATTCCATGCCTGGATCATCTCCACAGCATTCCTGCTCCCAGTGCTAATGACTCCACCCGATCATCTCCCTCAGGTAAGTCTGGCATCACAAGCTCCTCCTACCCACTTGCACAACAGTTTTCTCCTCTCCTCCCCCTCCTTCCCCTCCCCTCCCCCTCCTCTCCTACCCACCCTTCTTCTGCATAGCACCAAACTGAAACTTCTCATTATGGGCTTTCAAGGTCCCACGCCACCTGGCCACCCATGATCTCATGCTGCTCTCTTCCTGAGTGTGCCCTGGGGCCGTATTGGTTCTTCACAGAGAACTAACTGCATGGTTCAACTCTTCTTGTCCATAGACCTCGGCTCTGATTGTCTTCAAAATTTGTGCAGGACCCAGGCTCCATGCCCCACTTCACCAGCCATGGTGCGAGCGTCTCTGGCTTTCTTTTCTCTGCTATGACTGCTATGACTTTCATTTTCTTTATTTATTTTGTGGCACTGGGGATCGAACCCAGGGCTTCCCAGTGCTGAGCATACATTCTATCACTGAGCTACATTTTTTGCTTTTTTTGTCTTGAACGTTAACTGTCACTATTTATATGTACCTGCATTTTAAAGCCTGCCTGCCTGTCTGCCTTCCTCCCTTCTGTGGGACCAAAATGACTCCATTTTGGAGCCGTCTCCTTTGTTCTCTCAAATTTGTGCTTAAACTAGGAATTCACCACTTGAAATTCCTGAGTTTATTACCCAACCACCTGTGTACCCGGGGAAAGAGCGTTCCAGGCACACTATCTATAAGATAAGCAGTTAATGAGCTAACTATCCACACAAGATAGATGCGGCCATTAGTCGGTGGGTCTGCTAACGATCAGTATGTGACAATCGGCCGTTAATCTTTGCCCCTTTCTCCCTTACAAAAACCAATACGTAATCCCCTTCGACCCCCAAAGCCTAGCCAACCAAAACCCTACACTTCATATGTATTAAGTATTAACCAATCACCTGGCTACTAATAACCAAAGCTTGTTGTATTCTCAATAAAAACCCTGCTAGTTTGGGACTCAGGGCTCTCAATCTCGATCCGCTGTGTCGGTGACAATTGAGAGTCCCTGCTTAAGCTTGAATAAACGACCCTTGTGTGCTTACATCGGAAACGGCCTCCTGGTGGTCTTTGGGACTTCACAATCTGGGCACAAGACTTCCTTCCTTCCTTCCTTCCTTCCTCCCTCCCTCCTTCTCTCCCTTCTTTCCTTCTTTCCCTTCTTCCCTCCCCTTCCTTTCTGTTTTCTCTTTCCTCCTCTCCCCATCACCATTCCCTTACCTTCTTTCTTTTGTGGTCATGGAGACTGAACCCAGGGCCTTCACACTGAACTCTACCCCCAGCAGTATATATATTTCTAAAATGTATCTCGATTTTCCAGTATGATTTTGGCCGTATCACTTAGCTTCCTGTGCTTAGTCTGCTAATCTATAAAATGGTTGTAATGATGAGAACTACTTACAGGACTTTGTGAAACTAATGTGGTAAGATAAGAACTGAAAATAGCCCCTGGCACAAAGTGAGCCCTAATAAATATAACTATAATATTGCATTTATTCTTACACATACATATTCACGTAACTGTTTATTCATGCTCTTGTTTATAGGAGAAAAACACCATAGTGACCTCATTTAGATTGAGGGTTTTTTGGGGGTGCTGGATATTGCACACCCTAAGCACATGCTCTAACACTGAGTATCCCCAGCCCTTATGTAGAGCTCTTTTACAGACAAAAACTTTGGTTTCTTTTTAAAACTTATTTAACTCCTTAGCATCTAGAATGATATTCTGTGCTTGGTGAGGCCCCTTCGAATCTGGAGCCACCAGAGTACTGTTCCAACAGCTCAAATGTATAGTCAGCCAGTCAGTGACACGCTTGCTCAAGGGTGACGTGTTTCTGCTGTAGTCACTGATAGCTAGGATTAAACACATCCTGTCTTCTCGGTTCTGAAGAATAACTCCATTCTTTTTTTTTGATGGAGACATAAAGCCAGGTATGGTGGCACATGTCTGTAATCTCAGCACTCTGGAAGGCTGAGGCAGGAGGATCACAAATTTGAGCCCAGCCCAGGCAACTTAGTGAGACTCTGCCTGGAAATGAAAAGGGCTGGGGATGTAGCTCAGTGAGAAGGCCCTGGGTTCAATCCTCAGTACCACCAAAAATTAATAAATAAGTAAATAAAGGAAGAAATGAGATGTACTTCACATACCACAATGCTTACCCCTTGAAGTGCACAATTCAGAGGTTTTCAGCATATTCCCAAACCATCACCACTCTCTGAGAATATTTTCTCAGAAATAAATCAAAAAGAAATCCTGCACCCCCTGGTAGTCCTTCCCATTGACCCTCCCTCCTCCCCGTGGTGACCACCCAACTGCTCTGTCTCATGGTTTGCCTATTCTGGACATTTGACAGAAATAGACATAGAGTATGTGGCTTGCATGTCTTCCTCTTTCAGGTTTCACTGAGGCTGTACCATGCTGTTAGCCTTTTTATGGCTAAATAATATTCCACCACATGGCGAGACTGCATTTTGTCTCTTTACTCACTAGTTGATGGACATCTAGATTGTTTCTACCTTTTGGCTAATAGGAGTAATTAATGCTGATGTGAACATTTGCATGCAAGATTTTTCAGAGACATATAGTTTAAAGTTAAAGGAAGCAGAGTTATGCAGTGTAGGTTATTAAAGAAAGAAAAACAGTAATAATAGTAATAACTCTACTACACTTAGTTAAGAGTCTGGGCTTACCTTTTGACCTCAACCATTTTCTACCTGGGGAAAACAGAAAACAAAACAAAACAAAACGCCCCAAAGGGGTGGGCAGGGTAACATTCAAGGGGCCAGTGTCCCCTAGACAAGGACAAGGTGACTGTCCTGAGGCTTGAGTAACTTTTCCAGAGCTCCTGTTTCCAGTGGTGGCCTGATGTCCAGGTCTACGTCTAGCATTTTACCCCTGCTGAACCTTGTTACCATGCCAACATGCTAGCGAGGAAGGGCAATTTAAGTTTTTCTCAGCCACTTCTGTAAGTCTTAGGATATGAGGTTTCGTAAGGGTTGGTTTGTTGGTCAAACCTTGAAGGTCACTATGAAGATCATTAGGAGGGGGTCAGAGGGAGACACCTGTCAAAGTCCATCTACTTTACAATTTTAACAAGGGCTAGTGCTGGAGGTCAAAAGCAATGGATGGCCATACACAATGCTGAGTCATGACCCATGGAATTTGGTTAGCTGAGTGGAAATTATTTCGGTCTATCCCATTTCTGGGACACATGTGTTATAAACATGTGCATATGTAAATTCAAAAATATTAATTCACTTATTCAACGAACAAATGACCAGCCACTTATGTGCCAGGATAACATATGCCTAAGTTGACTTTGCAGATGCTGCCTGCCCCATGAACTTTATCTGAGAAGCTGAGCAGCCAGAGGCATCCTAACACGGCACTGTGCTCATCTAAGACCACGGCAATCCCCCAGTGCAAGGTTTGTGGGTCACACTCTCTCTTAAACATGAATGTCAGCCTCCAGTGATGAGGGGGAACCAGAGGTGCACAATTCAAGACAGTATTTGGCCTTTCTCATGCTGTGTAGAGATCCACGACCTTACGAGATCACCCATCACATGATCACCCCGTTGTGTACTTTAGTTTGAGTAGCTGCTGAAGAAATGTCAGATTGCTGACAGTTTCAGGAAGTAGAGAAGGAGTCCCAGTCTGCACTGGTGCTTCCAGGCTAGGATTCTCATCTGCAGAGGGACCCTGAGAAGACACCCTGTTGCACGAAGGAGGCGGCAGCATCACCTCAGGCAGATCCTTGATGACTACAGAAGAGACTACATCATAATACAAGAATATAATTGCAAAAGAGGGGGTATATTTTACTTGTATGAGGGTATTAGGGAAAAAGCATAAAACTGTGAATCCACTTGTCTCAGTAACTGTGATTTCTATAGCAAGGTTCCAGGTTCATGCTGCCAGTTCTCACTCAGCAAGTATTGTATTGCTTTAGCTTTCACATCTATTTTCAAGAACTTAATGTACATGGTATGGTCAAAATATAGGGTGAATGTTTAAAGTTTCACAAATTTATTATAGTAAAGGACATTGCATTAATCTCCCTCAAAATCTCTCTCTTGCTTTGAACACACATCCCATTCTTCTTACCACTTTCTGAAGCAGTTCTGGAAGTCTTCTTTTGCAAGTGTCTTTAGTTTGCACTCTTGTGGCTGCTTTGATTTCCTGGATTGATTCAAAATGTTTAAGTCTCATGGTTCCAGATTCGATGGACAATGTGGATGAAGACACGTCATAATGTTTTTAAGAGCCTGCCTTTCCAATGGATAGTGCTTGGCAGTACCATTTACCACACTTTTTATCATACCTTAAAGATGTGAAAGAGGACTTCTGGAACTTCTTCAGAAAGTGGCAAGACTATTCAGTAGGGTGTGTTCAAAGAGAGGGGGAGTATTTTGAGGGGGCTTAATGGCAATGTGTCTTTTACTGTAATATATTTTAAAATGTAAATTTCCTTGGTATTTTTTGATCACACGTTGTACTAATTTTTGCTGTTCTCTATAAGAAAAAAAAAAAAAGAAGGTGTTCAGGCTTTGGTTCAGGTGTCACACATTTCTAGGTAGTAATCCAAATTCTACCACTTAAGAGTATAGAATCTTAGCTAAGTGCAGCTCTCCAGAGCCTCAGTTTCCTGATCTATAAAACTGAGGAAAACAATATCTACCCCATTAGAGGTAAGAGAGTGACACAGTGCCTGTGTTGCATAAATACCCAGCAATATGCAGTCTTTATTATTCTTGTTTTTCTGAGTACACTGGAAACTCTTCAAAGGCAGAGACTATTTTCCCTTTATTTCTACTGTGTCCACAAACCCGTCTCAACAGCAGTATGGACACAGCAGTTATTGAATAAAGAAATATTCACGAAAAATTAACCAGAGAAAATAAACATCAGAGCTTACTTGGAATAAAAGAAAGCATTTAAACTGCAGTTGGTACCCTAAAAGTAAAAGACACATCAAAAACAGACAGGGGTGTGCCGTCTGCTAGTCAGGGCACGCTCCAGGGACACACCTTGTTAGGACCTCAGTCCTAAGAGAATCTCAGTCCTGCTCATGGACAACTTTGCACACTCAGGCATGTGTATGCACCGCTAACTACAGTGTTTGCACTTCTTTAATTTTCCTCTCTTTGATAGGGTTGAGAGTAGTTGGCCATAAAACAACCATATGAGTTAATTCCTCTAAAGACAAGAGCTTGTAGGAACAGACAATACATAGTTCATTCACCCTTTTGGGTCAACCTAGCATTAGGATGGATGATCAATCTTATGAGTCCTCAAATGCCAGCACACCCTTGTTTACAACACCCAAGAAAAGCTAAGCAAGCGCTTATCAAGAGTTCATCTGTGACCTTCTGAAGGACACGAGAGGCTCTCATTTGACAGCCTTGAGCTGATCTGAATTTTGATGAGTAAGTCTTTAGAATGATTTCAAATGATAAAGGGTGCCCACAGGAGTCCTGTCTCTCTAGAGCCCCCTGTGCTTGAATTGCAGATTCCTGCAACATCTAGAAAGCTGATGCATTAAAGCTGAGGGAGGTGTGAATCCTCTATTCTGTCCACAGGGAAGTGGTTTTCAAGAATGAAAGTATCCTATGCCTTTGTAACTAATAGTGGGATGAACTGACCCCAAACTACTTATGAAAAGGCCAGCTGCATCCATACATGCACGCATATGTTCATCTGAATGGTTTCCAACTTGGAAACTATAGAAATGTCTACCAATAGAGAATGAGCATTCATTCAAAAATGTAATGAAATAGATCAGTATGTTTTAGCATGGAAAGAAAATAACCATGACAGATGATCAATTTTTTAAAAAAGGTTATTAAATAGAACAATATGATCTTATTTAAAAAATTACATAGGTTACCATATATAGATAAAATGTGAAGGAACAGATAATGAGTTATTAACAGTTTTCTCAAGAAGACGGACAGGGCACTTGACTATATTTCTATTGTTTTAATCATTTTACCAAAAATATTTTTATTTGTGGTATCAGGGATCAAACCCAGAGGTTCTACTACTGGCTACATCCCCAGCCCTTCTCATTTTTTATTTTGGTCACTTCTTTTTTTTTTTTTGGTACCAGGGATCGAACTCAGGTCCTTGCGCTTGCGCAGCAGGTGGCGAAACCACTGAGCTAAATCCCCGCCCCGGCCCTCTCATTTTTTATTCTGAGACAGGGCCTCATTAGGTTGCCCAGGCTGGACTCAGACTTCTGATCCTCTTTGCTCAGTGTCCTGAGTAGCTGTGGTTATGGGCATGTGCCATTGTGCTTGGCAGAAGGGGAAGCAAAAAGATTCAAGATGTGTCACTTACAGGTACCAAACACTCACAGTGAATACAAATTTTGTATGTCATGAAGAAAAACTTTAAAAAAAAATAATAGTAAGGATGAAACCGGGGAAAGGGTATTTAGAGTCGGAGGGAGAGAGGTGGGTGGGAAGCGGAAGGGGATTAAAAAAGAACCGAGCTGCGTTATGAACATGCCCCTACTTCCCAAGATGAATGTGAGCTTTATGTACTGCAAATATACTAATAAAATTTAAAAAATTGTTGGGAAAAAGAAAGCATTATTATTATCATTATCATCATCATGTGTATTTTTTTGCTCTGCCAGGATCAAACCCAGGGCTTTGCACATGCTAGGCAAACACTCTAACACTGAACTACATCATCAGTCCAGAAAACATTATTAATAAGGAGAAGAAAGTTATTTTATAAGAGAATGGAAGTTAAAATGCTAATAATGAATAACGGGAGATTAAACACACTCGTGTCTTGATGGCCATGAGTCAGTGTCCTACCTTTTCCCTGAAATGCTCGTTTTTGGAGGCTGCTGTCAGGAAAAGCCTCACAGCCTCACTGACTTCACTGCTGTCTCTGGTCAGCAGCAGAGCCAGGGTCCTAAAGACCTCTTGCTGGGCTGGGAGGTTGCTGGGAGAGAGGTCATTCAGGGTCTGCAGCAGCTTCTCCTCTCTCAGCGACTGTAGAGTCTGAACCATGGAAACTAGAAGGGAAGACGGAGACTGAGTTCATACTTGTACAGTTCAGTGGCACGTTCATTAAAAATATAAGTATTTTATGTATATTTTTATGACATAAGGCCCAAGTATTTATGAAAAAATTAGCCTATGATCAAGGTGGTATTTCAATTACAATAGTGAGAAAAAGACAGATTATTCAAGTAATATATTGAGGTAAGGGGTGATTCATATGGGAAAAAAGTGATGTTGGATTTCTATTTTTGAGTGCAAAGATAATGTATAGATGAATTAAATAGTCAAACATAAACAGATACAATTAAGAAAGTATCAAGAAATACTTTTAGTTTTTGGTACTGAGGATCAAACTTGGGACTTTGCGCTTTCGAGGCAGGCAGCAGAACCACTGAGCTACATCCCTGCCCTCAAGAAATATTTTTACCATTTTCCTAATACACATGTAGCAAATACAGTTGCTCTGTCTTAGGCAAAACCCAAATCCTAGGAGAAGTTGAGTCTGTAGTGAGGCAGGTGGCTCCCGTGGAGAAACTCATTTAGTTGACTGGAATACAGAGGTAATATGATAAAAACAGGGCTTGGGATTTCATGTGGGGAAACTGGCCATGTTCCATGGATCAGGAACGTACTCTGGTCCCTAACTGGAACAGCATCCTCTACCTACTGGACGAGTCTAAGAATTACCTAGATTTTTTTGTGTTTAATTTCCTATTTTCCTTGCTGTGGATTTTCTGTCAATGTCATTGTTTTGAGGGAACAAGGGAAGGAGGGGAAGAGGTGGAAAAAGAATGAAGATGTGTTATTACATGTCTCAACTCCGCACGATGAATGCGATCATTATGCACTGTAAGACTGGTCTAATAAAAAATACCCAGGTTAAAAAAGCCTCAGGAGTAGTATGTCTTATAATAGCTCAATAAACACATCACAGGGAGCACCCTACATGTTCAATAATGCAAATATATAAATCTACATTCAAATACAGGGCTGGTATAAAACTGATAAAACGTTTTCAAAGAATATTTAATAACATCAAACATGTCAAATCAAAAACAGGACATAACCCTAAAGAATATGCACAAGTTTGAAATCCAAAACCCATCTACATGCAACTGAAAAAATGCATAACCTTTTACACATGGGAGGATGAGGGATTTGAATCTTTTTCTTTATGGTTCTCTGTTTTCTGAATTTTTTTATAATGACCTTTTCTTTCGTACTTAAAAAAAAACCCAACAACTTGAAAGGTGACAGGTTTTTCCATCTGTCCTTCCCCACTGCTGCTGGTAAATGGTGTGTTCCCAGAGACCATGGAAGGTAAGAAACATAAACTAACACCCAAATGCCCAGAGTAATACAGACATTTGCTCAGGAAACTGATCTAGACTGAGACCAACTTAGTGTCAAGAAATGAGAGTAACACAAAGTGACGGCCTGTGGTGGTGACGTTGTCTCCTGCCTAAGTTCTCTTCCTGCTCCTTGCTCAGCCTGCTGTCTGCCATACAGGGTGATGCAGACAGTGCCCCACACTTTCCTCCTCCACGGGGCGCCACCCACGTCCTGACCATCTTGTTGCCAGGCTTAATGTTCTGGAAGGACAGGGGCCGAGCCTGGCTCTGCCCCAGACATGCTGCCACTGCCTGGTGCTCTGCCAAACTCTGCTGGTCCCAGGAACACCCTCATTCCTCCCGTCTCTCTGAACCACACTGTCAGGGATCCGAGGATGTACACAGCACAAACCTGGGAACCAGAAACCATACCTTTGCTGCCCGGAGAGGTTTGCATTCTATATAAACGCTGCACTGCTAATATTTGGAGTGCCACAGGAAATGGGGACAAGGACATCATGGTCCCAGTCCTACCTGGGCTCCTTTTCTCCTTTCCCTGGATATGCAGCCTGCATTGACTTCTACCTTTTCTTACTTTCCCTTCCCACTGTGTCACCCCAGCCTTTTAAAGCTCATTATCACTGAAAACTCCACCAAAAAAAGCAATATAAAACACTATTGCCTTTGGGCAAATGGCAAATACATTACCAAGGGAAAGAAACCAAAGTAAACTCTTAAATCATTTACCAGCTTCCTGTTAATGGTATACCTCTGCTGGATAACTAGGAGGGTTAGTAAATCCAGGTTCCATTAACAAGAACTTTATTAGCTAAAGGTTCAGAAGTTATTTAAAAGACAAATCTCAGTTCAAATGTGGACTTACAGGAAAATACAAGCTACCAGCACTAGACATCATGATTAAAAAGATCAGGAATAATTCTGAACAGAGCCAGCACTGCAGTATGACAAAAGAACATGCCCACCTTGCCTGGCCAGCTGGCTCAGGCAGCTCTCCACGTCACTCATACCATGGCTGGTAAAATAACTGTGATACTGGAAAACAGTGACAACTTCTGAGGACAGGTTGGAGGAGAGCAGAGGCTCAGCCCGGTCCAGTATCTGGGACACCAGGGTTCGAAACACTACAAAGAAAAGAAACAAAGGAGAAACATGGCCATTCAGTCATTCGTCCATCCATTTCTACAAGATAGAGCAGAGTTCATGATATGAGTTAATCTTCGGGGGACAGCCAGATGACTTGAGCATGGACACACAACTGCCCACTGCTATTGAGGTCAAGATATAGAAGATCCCAAGCACCTCACTGGGTTTTCTTATACTCCTTCCTGTCTATAGCTATGTTCTCACCCTCACCATACAGAACTAAACCCCTGGCTTCTATTCAGTTCTCCTTAAACTGCATATAAATTGAATTATGCTTTTTGTATCTGGTTCCCTTTACCCAACAGAGTACCTGTGAAATTCACAAAAATTGTTGCTTGCAGCAGCAATATATCTTTTTAAAAATGCTATGTAACATCCTATGGCATGATTATACTATGATTTATCCATTCTTTTATTGTGAGTGTTTGAGATCTCCCAACTTTTGGCTGTCATTAATAAAGCAAAGATCCTTCTTTCTTGCGAATATAAGCACTCATTTCTCCTCATATATTTAAGGGTAGAATTGCTGGCTCACAGGTTACAGTGGAAACTGCCAGTTTTTCCAAAGTGGTTGTACCATTTGACACACCCATATTGGTGACATTTAATGAAAAAAAAAAGAAGTATACACTTTAATACCAGGTTCAAATAACTGTAGACCAAAACATTGGAAAAAAAGTTGCATCTATACTGAAAACATAGAAACTTTTTAATCGTGCCAATATTCCCTTAGCAATACAGTGTATCAACTATTTCCATAGCATTTACACTGTATCGGGTGTTGTAAGTAATCCAGGGTCCTCAGGGGGATGTGTGGAGGTTATATACAAACACCACACCACTTTATATGAAGAACTGGAGCATCTGCAAATCGGTTATCTGCAGGGGCTCCTGGAACCAATTGCCATGGACACCAAGGAAAAACTGTCATGGCAACATAGGCCGCAGCACTTCTAAAAAGTCCCTGCTGATATTTTGAATTAAAACATATACAGTGTTTCACTTTCTTAACTCTGAGTACCCGATGTTCTCCTTGGAAAGCATGCCTTTCTTTTTCAGGCTGGCCTTTTGTGTGCCCCTTATCCCCAGGCTGCAGAACATGCAGTGGGAGAGCTGCACAAAAGGACAGAAATTCTCTGCCTTCTGCAGCCCCATACCTGGCTCTGCAAGTCCTGGGTATTCTTTATTGAGGGCTCTGGCAAAGCTGGTCTCCAGCTGCCTGATCACCCTGTCCGCCGAGCTGTGGTAGACGCCGGCTGGGCTGCAGCATTTGGTCCAGAAGGACAGCAGAGACAGTTTTTTGTGGAATTCTGGAATGGCTGGAAAAGAAGAATGGCCCCCACCCATGACACATGTTATAGATGAAGGTGGTGCACCGGCTGGGGTGGAGTGAGACATCTTGGGGCCTTTTTAAGACTTTGGTTTTCAACTGGACCTACTACAAGATTCCTCTGCGACTGGCAGATGATTCAGAGGATGAAGAAGTTATGGAGAGGAACTTATCCTGTGGGAGGGGGATGAAGAAAATGCAGCAAAAACAAAGTTATTTGCTTTTAGGGACACAAAATACAGCATCTCTACCTGGGGAGACCCTCAAGCATCTCATCTTCTATAACTTTAGAGCAAATGTATATGGGGCCAGTGATGCAAAGGCCCTGAGCCTTTCCTGAAGGGGGTGGAACTTGCTGTGGTGGCTGGAGATTTCCCCTTCCCAGGTGGCTCTCAGATGGAAATGAGAACGCAGCATAGGGCCAGGGAATGCCTGGTTACTATCACCTTCCTTGGTCCTTATGATGGAGGAGGGGCTGGAAGGGGGAGGAGAGGAGAGGACACTGGTCACTTGCAGCCTGGATATCTACCCCTTCACGTGCCTCTCTTTCTGGGGTCACCTGCTCTTAGTGGGAATGGGCTCAATAGGCAGAAACCCACAGGGAGGACCCCTGGAAGTTATAGGCTTCATCAGAGATTACCAGGAGACCCCATTTCTATTCACATTCTAAAAAAAGGGCAGAAAATCATAGAGCCAGATCACACAAATGCAAAGGCATCATCCCTACATCAAGTTCTGCCTGTACAATGCTCAGAACCGGGGACCATTCTGGAGGCCTTGAATCCACATGGTTTCTGCCCTCCCTACCTGGCAGGGTTGAGAAAGATGGTCCACCTGAAAATCAGCTACTATGGGAGAGTCTTAGCCTCCTCCACAGCCTGAGAGCAGTCCTGATTGCCTGGCCCCAAGGGACCTCACCAGCAGAAAATGCCTGTGAAACTCAGTCTGCTGTTTCTATTTCTACACGAGTGTCTGACTTCCAGGGTTGGAGACCCTACAGAAAAAGCTGTGCATTTCTGATTTGATGCAGAAGGCTGAAGTGTGGCATTAACAAACCTGAAGTATGGAGAATTCATCCTAGTCTATGGCCCAAGGATGTTTTTCCACCTCCCCGTTAAAGCAAGGAGCAGGCAGAAGACTGGGCTGGCGTGGCCTCCCCCATGGGGTGAGTGACTGGCGGGAGCTTACCTTCCATGACAGAACTGATGTTCCCTATGTTCTCATCACTGACAGCTGCCAGCTTTTCCACCACTCGGGTCTGCCTGGAGAGCTTCTCTAAGAGATTTCTTGCTACAAAGGGGGTTTTGCTGGAGAAGACAATTTGCTGGTAAAACAAACAAAAGCACTGTTTCAACGATGCTGTTGTCAAGAGAACAAGTGTCCCCTCCCCACTGCTCCTTCCTGGACCTGGAGGTGGTGATGTCACACAGACTCAGTAGTGCCTGTGTGCCAACCTAAGAGCACTGCTCCCCCTGTGCCAGGAACATCTGAGGAGATCAGGATGGTGTCTGGCGCCTTCAATGCTTTTCATGCCTATGAAACTCAGAAATGTTGTCAGCAGGAGCACTGGAAGCCATCATAAAGCAGCCTCCCCTTTTACCTACTGTAAATCTAAGTCTCCTCTTCGAGCTTGGAGGGCTTGTTTAGGCTGTATCTTGGGGAATAAGGAGAAGAGGATTTGTTGTACAAGCCTAGTTATTTTTCACAGCATGGTTTTATTTCTTGCTTTCAAGCTGGAAATTGAGAGCAGATTGTCTAATAATCATACCTGCAATCAGAGCTGTCTCATTGTTAGTGCTTCCTACATACGGGGCCCTGGTCTGAGCCCTATAAATGTGAGGAGCTCGTGTTATTTCTCATAGTAATCTAATGAAGTGGGTGCTGTTGATATCTCTATTTTACTGATGAGGAAACTGAGGGACAGGGAAGATGAGTAACCCGCCCGAGGTCACATTAAGTATTAAGTGGTTGCACTGTGTGTGGGTCACAAGAATAAGGAACCCAGAGGGAGGAAAGGACATGGATACTTGTCTGCTTGGTGATTCTGCTCCTTGCAGTGTCTCTAGGAGCCCTGCCCAGGTCACCCGGGGGTGCGGATGCAGGCGCAGGATGCAGAGCAGACACACTATGCTGTTTTGCCTGAAGAATTTGGACTCTAATATGGATGCACTTTTGAACTTAAAAATCTAGCAATTAATTATGTACTAATGGTGTTCATGTAAGGAAGTACAGTAGAAATGTATGTTACTCTGAAAATAATTATAACAATTATGCTTCATATTGAATGCTCATTTTTATTTCTCTGCAATTATGTTGCCAATGCAGAAGGAAACTCACTGATTCAGGACTAAGTGCAAGTGAGACATTTCTCATCTTCACTCCTTCGATCTAATTCATATCTACTTCATATCTACTTCTCTTATTTTCTCGTCTGATCTTCCTCACAAAAGTGCTGGATAACATCAACCTGACTGTTGCACACTGATTCGTCTTGGGAGAAAATGTCATCCTTTTATGACAGAGAATTCTCTTATGTCTCACAAAATAGCTGCTTTACCTCTAAAGTGCAAAGAGGTGGTTTGCTCAGAAGACATCAGAATCCGCTAGGATAAAGAGCTACGAAAAGCACCCTATTCAAACAGTTGGTAAATGGTGAACAGTTCAAAGCCAAGAAAACGCCTTGTGTATCTTCATCAGAAAAGAGAAGTCCACCTTCTGCCATCGTGGTTGTCAAGGCCACGCTCCTTATGCAACAGGAGACTTCAGACAGGGTGTTGACCAACCAAGGGGCCAGAGTTAACACTGACAGCCAGTTTCCTCCGGCACATACATTGTCCGAGGATTCTTAAAGGCTCTTCATATGTGGTGAAAAAGCATATTCCTCCACAGGTCATCACAAATGTGTTACAGAGGGAGCAATGCAACACCCCTGGAGACTTCTCAGCCTGCTTCTTGCTTTCCTGCTGACCCTGTATTCTTGGGAGCACAATTCCTCTTTTTGTACTTTTTTTTTTTTTTCTGAGACAGGGTCTCACTATGTAGTTCAGGCTGACCTTGAACTCACTATGTAGGCCAGGCTGGCCTCGAACTTGAGGCAATCCTCCCGGCTCAGCCTTCCAAGTGCTGGGATAACAGGCATGTGCTCCCCCTTCTTATTCTATTCTTTCAATTTCCCTAAACCATTTTCATAAGTCCCCAACTTACGAATGAGTTCTGTTCTGGGAGAATGTCCGCAAGTCAGATTCATTGGCAAGTCTTACAAGGTGAATCTTATATACCTTTGACACAAATATACAATGCATATTGCTTTGCACTTCCTAGCAATCCCCCCAGCATCACTGCTGCTTTTCCTCTTGCTTCCGGACATCCTGGGCTTGGACTGAGCACTGCACTACTGTGCACTTTTGCACTGTACAATAAGCACACAGCAGCATAACTGTGACAGTGTCCACAGGCACATGAGCTACTTCCATGATTGCTTCTACAAATGTTTGTAATGTGAGTTTCATCCTATCTGCAAAAAGTTCACAATTCAAATGTTTGTAAGTTGGGCACTTACTGTATATTTGCTTCCATATTCTTTTTTCTTTCCTAGTAGTGGGGGCTGAATCTAGGGCCTTGCGCTAAGCTACATCCCTAGCTCTTTTTTATTTTTTATTTTGAGACAGAGTCTCGCTAACTCACTAAGTTGCCCAGCCTGGGGTCACTCTTGTGATCCTCCTGCCTCAGCCTCAGAATTCTGGGAATATACTGTGAGACACCACACCTGGATGCTTCCACGTTCTTATCTTGTTCCACACACATCCAAGCAGGAACAAGATTGGGAGAAGACAAACCACCAGGCCAGGGGAAGCATTGAAGTAGATGCTCTGAGGAAAAGACTGTTCTGTTCAGAAAGGCTGAAAGCCTTCTTGCAACAAAAGAGTTTCAAAATACTTGCTCCACTGTTGCAAAACCTAAAGTGATAAAGAGCTTGACATGAGAAGAAACAGCAGCCCTGTGGTATCCCAGGATGAGAGCTAACCGGGGTGATGATGGGCTAGAGAAATATTCCTTCTCAATGCTTGTAAAAATTATTTACTCAAATTCTGGAGAGACGTGGACAGATTCTCTAGTATTGTCAGGGAATTAGCTCAGTGGCACCACGCCTCCCTCGAAAGTGCAAGGTCCTGAGTTTGATCCCCGGTACAGGAAAAAAAAAAACTGTTCACAAATACTGGCATTCCAACTCCATCTGTAGAGGGCGGAATAGAAATCCTTTTTGCTCTTTCCTTAGTCATATTACTCTCATCTATTGCCAAGTGATTTTAAAGTGAGCACTAACCATATATCACCTCCTACCCTTTCAGGTCTTGAGGATTCTCAGTTTTAAAGTGGAAAACCCAGGGTTGGGGAAGGATGGACATGCCCATCAAAGTTTCTGTCTTGGTTCCAATCTAAGCAGGAGTGTTCTCTTATCTCTGAATTCTAATTTCCCTGGAAAAACTAGAAAATGGAGCATCCTTTCCTGGCACATCCACAGCCTGGGCTCTCGGGTGCAGGTGTGGTCACTAAGCCTACCTGAATGAGCTGGGTGCAGTACTGCAGGTGGCGCACGATGGTGATGTCCAGGCTCTCATTCCCTGTGGTCAGCGGGAGAGGGCTTCCGGCCACGCTGGTCCCGACGCCAGTGTCTTCAGTCAGTGCTTCGCTAAGATGCCCCCTGGCTTCCGGGTGCACTGACCTGTAACTGGTGAAGCAGGAGGGTGGATGCAACATTAGCTACTTCTCCCTGTGTCCAAACCACAGGTCATGTCAACATGGCTGGTGTCAGGCCCCAGAGCACCCACTGAAGCAGTCTTTCACTCGCCTTCTTTGAAAGACAGAGATAACTTTCAAAAACAATGTAATTCAGCCCGGTTGCCAATTTGCCTGGTATTAAAAGAGCATGCAAACAAATTGCTTCTAGAATTCTGTTTGCTTCTCAAGCACAATGAACCACTTATAAAGGAGTTTCACCAAGAGGCCTTTGAAACATGCTCTCCTTTTGCATTTGTTGCACTTTCCTGCTCTGTTGACTGAGTAATTTGCCAAATTTTCTGGGATTAAACTGTCTTCTATATTTGTGGTTTCCCAAGAGTAATACCATTAAGAAATAATCTGTTAAAACCCTTTCCTGGCCTCAGATTAGTTGCTACTTGAAGAAAAAGAAAAAGGAAAGCTGCCAAGAAGAGAGACATGATGTTCTACTCAGGACCAAAGTTAAAAAGGGTGTTGGAACATTGAGAACATAGCTTAGTCCTGCTTCTTGGGCTTTGTTTAAACCTGCTATTGGACTATCTAGAGTTATATCATGATAGGCATTATGGTATCTAATTTTATTCTTTTCTTTTTTGTTATTGCTGTTTTGAGACAGGGTCTTGCTATGTAGTCCAGGCTGGCTTTGGGCTCACTATGTAGCCCAGGTTGGCTTTGAACTCACAGCACTCCTTCTGCCTAAGCCTCCTAAGTGCTGGGATTATAAGGGTGCACCACCACGCCCAGCTTGTTCGATTGTCTCACTGTGTAGTGCAGGCTGGCCTTGACCTCACTATGTAGCCCAGGCTGACCTCGAACTCACAGCGATCCTCTTGCCTTAGCCTCCTGAGTGCTAGGCCTTTGCCACCATGCCTGGCTAATTATATTCTTAACATGAGTTAGTGTGCTTGAGAGAAAGGGAGGGACACAGAGAAGAACATGGCTAGCAGGTATGTTAACAAGCATGTGTCCAGGTTCACATGGCTGCGTAGTAACAGGGCAGCTTTGGACATCCAGCCTCCTGCTCCTGGAGTCTACACCAAAGCTTGGAAGCTTGGGATGCTTTCCTCTGATTCACATCTGCCTCCAAGAAGAAAGCCATCAGCTTGTGTCCTGGCAATCAACACATATTTCACATACACACACAGTCACACACACACACACACACACACACACACACACACACACACACTTTTCCCTAATACTTCTGATGACATATAGCAAGATTGATTGAATTAGATATATTTGATATCAGACTTTTGTAAAATGCAAAAAAGCTTTGGTGTTTTTGTAAAAATGCTGCTTATGGCAAGGAGAAAAAAGAGTAAGAGTTTAGACTGATTCTCAACCATAATCTAGCCTGTAACAGTTCAAGCTAACAAGTATACAGAAAATTCTCAGTGGAGGGCCTGGAAGTGGCTCAGTGGCACTGTGCCTGCCTGGCAAGCACAATGTCCTGAGTTTGATCCCCATACCAGAAGAAAAAAAAAAGAAAAAGAAAATTCTCCATGGAAAAGCACTTGACACATTTAGTTGAGCTAGGAAAGTCTCAACATATACTGCATTCGAATAACTTAGGCATTACATTCAGTTACTAAATCTTCTTTCTTTTTATTCCCAGTTTTCATGTCATTGTTTTTTGTGGTTTTATTTTGGAAAAAGAAACCCACCCAGAGCAACAGAGCCCAAAACCTGGAACACTGCCCACAAAGAGATCTGGAAAGGTTGAAGAGCCGAAGCTTGTTGTAACTTGAAAGTCTGTTTAGGTCACCTCACGCCAAAGCCAAGTTGGGTAGGAACCCCACCCCTGCTTTGGGAAAGTGCTCATTCTCCCACAGTAATCACTGGAGTGAGGCTGTCCCATTGCGTTTGCTCTGCTTCACATGAAATCAAAGAGTGAACCCAGGACCTGGCTCTGAAGTTGGCTGTGCTGGGGAAGGTGACAGTCTTTCACCTCCACACTCTGCTCACCCAGAGAAGGTCACATTTCCCAGCTTGTGGGCTGCAGAACTAATGCCAGTTAGTGGTCAGGTCTTTACAAAGGGGCATAGGTGCCATGGGGCTTAAGCCTGGCCTTTGGTAAGTGCCCAGATGAGCTTACTCTGGAGTGGACTCAGGGGGATGAGGGAAAGAGATGAAGGGGCAGGAAAGCAAAGAGCAGCAAGACAGAGGCATGGGCCTGAGATGCACACCAGGAGAACCAGGCCCAACTGACCCTCCAGCAAGGGTCCTCCTCAAGCGCAGGGTGCCAAAGTAACATGGAATTAGTGTGACGAAGACAAGTCATAGAGTTAACCCTCCATGAGTCTGTCTACGTACCCACGCTCACAGCTACAAAACTTTCCCCTTCACGTCTAAGGCAGAACAGATGTATTTTCCCTTAAGCAACCCCAAGGAGGTGAATAATTTTTAGAAATTATACAATGAAATGGAACCGTAAGGCGAGAACCCAAGTGGAGAATTATTTCGCCCTGGAGTTGTGCACCGGGTCCCCTCTGACAGTGACAATGAACAACTGCACCAGTTGTGACAGGAGAAGTAGAAGCTGATTTCAGACTTACCTGTTTTTCTCAGTCTCTGTGTCTGAAAAGACAGAGTCAGCACCTCCTCCTCTGACGTGACAAACCTCCTCGCCATCCTCCTCCTCGTCAAAGTCGGAGGTGTTCAGGAAATCAAAGCTTTCTAAAGCACTCTCAACGGCAAGACTTAAGCTGGAAGACCGGCTATGGCTCCCTGTGGGCTTGCACTGCAAAGGCAGAAGGCACCGGGACAGGTCAACACCTCTGGAGGGGACACAGACACATGGCACCCAGCTGCAGATGCCTCTCTCTCTCTCTCTTTTTTCCCCCAAGTTTTCATTTTTTGTCAGCATTTAAAATTTTCATATTAAAAAATAAAGTACAACCACGGATAAAATGGCACAATATCTGGGGTTTATTCCAAAATAATGCAGTGTGAAGTACACAGAAAAAACAGGCAACACAAGATTGGCCATAGCTTGGTCACTGGGCTCTGGGTATGCTGGAAGGTGGGCAGCTCTACTTCCGCTTGACATTTTCATCCTAAAAAACTAAGGAAATACGACAACCAGAAAGTCTTGGGAAACAGAACTTCTATGTTCCATCAGCAGCCTAGTGCTCATCCCCAAATAAAATATACCTAGCAAGCCAGGCACGGTGGCACCCAGCTGTGTTCCTAGCTACGTTCTTGGGAGGCTGGGGTGGGAGGCCATGAGGGGGAGACCATCTCTAAAAACCAGTAGACTGACTTTAAGTCACTTAGTCAAGGCTCACAACTAGCCACTTTCCAAGAGACAGTGTCTTCAGGAGCTTGAGGCTGGAGCTCTTTATCTAAAGCACTGGCTCTAAAGGATTAATAAAAACAAATCCCAAGAACAGAAAACTGCTCGAATTCACAGGGCCTATGTTCCCTACATAAGAAGCCCTGCATCTAACCAATACATTCACAGCATCATTTTTCCTCTGAGCATTGAGGAGCAATGAACGGCTGGGGGATCACAGGAAGTGACCTTGCTTCCTCTGAAACTGTCCCAAGTGGAAGAAGTCCCAGGGCTTCCTGATCAGGCCCTGGAAATACCGGAGAAAATCCTGCTGTGGCCTGGAGAGGGCTACACTGTGGGGCATTCGAGGAAACATTACAGAATTATGCTAGCTTCTGCAGGCTCAGAGACGGGAGGAGTAGTTCCAAACACTCAGAGTAGGCTGGATGGACTGAACGGGCAAGTCCTGCACGGGAGACGCACTAAGTGTCCTCCGGGCCGCTAGGTGGCGCTCCTTGCTGATCCCTTCGCTCAGGGTAGAAAGGGCCTTGCGGGGCTCTTGTCTCTGACACTTAAGATGGCACAAGAACGCGTGGGAAAACGTCTTTTCAGTCTTTTAAGTCACAGCTGTTTCATTCACCCTCAGGGATCTCCGTCCAAGAGGCAGCGTCATTTAATTTCTGATCCTCAAGATGGTTAGCACCCTAGGAATGTGAAGGGGGAGGGGGAAAGAGGAGAGAGAGAGAGAGAGAGAGAGAGGGAGAGAGAGAAAGCTTTGTCCAGCCCATGCTTTACTTCTGGCTGGATACAAAGCCACTTGCCCCGGACTTAAACACTAGTGCCCGGTTTCAATCTCAGGGGGAAAGAGGGAGCTACAGTGGGTGTGGCCCATGTCTAGGGTCCCCTTTCCTAAGCTGTTTGCTCAGCTTGATTTTGTGCAAGATGGCTCTTGTTTCTTGGTCATAACAATGAAAGAGGTAGTTGAAGGTTTCACTAGCAGGATAGTTTTGGAACAACAGTAGACTGAAATAATATCTGGAAGGAAAATGTGACTGCCTGGTTTTAGTAAGACTCACAGATGGTGCTCTTAGTGTTTCCTGGTGGATTGAGTGGCTTAGCAGCCCCTAGACTGCATTGGAAGCTACTTTCCTTGCCACTGGCTGGCCCGCTGGATTGCTTGCTAAACCCTGGCTTTAAGACTTCTGCTTTAGGTGGGGCTCATTTGTATCAGGGCTCTTTGGCATGAACACCCTTTGCTCACGTAGTGATGCCGACTGACTGGCAGCAAAGAGGCTCACGGCACTTTGCACGCAAAAGCCCTGAGCAGAGGCTTCTGAGCTCTGTTTTACAGAAAGCAGATGCTGGTGGCCTTTCCCGCTTCTCAGAGGCTGTGCCTAAGGTGGAACTCAGGAGCATTCGAGCACCTGGAGCATCAGAGGTTAAACTACCGTTGGCCCCAGGCACAAATCCTCTCTAGACTCAGGTCCACCTGACTGAAGAAAGAGGAAAGAGGATAAAATGGTGAGAAAAGCCTCAAAATTGGAGTGCCGGGTGGTGTTGGGAAGCCCTCATCTTAAAACAGCCATGCAAAGGGCTGGCTCTCAGCTTGCTGCTGCAACCTTACTTTCCAGCCTACTTTACAGAACAAGTCCCCAAGGAACTGCTCTTTCAAGAAAATCCAAGTTCTCTTCTCCATGACCATACAAGTCAAAGTGGGATAGCAAAGAATATAAGAAGTGGCAGTGTGACTCAGGACAAAAGTTCAAGTTCTGTCTTCCTGTACAGTGGTTTTTGTTTTGTTTTGTATGTAACCCATGTGACAGGTGGAGGCAGATTCATTCTGATGTAGCAGTCTGAGCTTATCATCAGGCGCTCCCTCCCAAGAGGAAATCGTCCCTCCTGCCCATCTTCCCCCTCTACCCTGTCGGATCACCATGGATTGAGGAAAGCATCTCCAGTGAAGCTTGGGCCCCCTGGCTTCTAGGGTATGACCCATAATTACTGCTGATGAGATCTGGCTTGCCGATTCAGGCCAAACCAGGAGAAGGGGCTCTTCCTAACTTCCCCAGCAGAGAAAGGGCTTCTCACTGCCTGACACCTTGAGAGGGATGCTATCCATTTGCATCTGAGAGACTATGATGATCAAAGTGCCATTGTTTCATATTTGGGATTAGAATGATTAACTTCAGCACTGGAGTTTAAACATTCTTTAGAGCTTTTAAATGAATTCTAATCAGTTAAATTGGTCTATTGTTAGAAAAAAATTGCTGTGCACAACTGGCATTCAAACCCTCTGCCATTTAAATGCTGATTATCTATTGGTCCTGTGACAAGACAGGATTTAGATAAGAAATTGAGAAATCTGGGCATGGTGGCACACACCTGTTATCCCAGCACTTGGGAGGCTGAGGCAGGAGGATCACCATGAGTTTGAGGCCAGCAGAGCTACACAGTGAGTTCAAGGCCAGCCTACGCTACATAGTGAGACTCTGACTCAAAAAGCCAAAAATAAACATAAAAATGTAAAAAGGGAAAAAGAGAGGCTGTGTGATACCGAAGGTTGATTGAAAATGCCTCCAATCTAATCAATGCCTCTGGAAAGTACTTACTTTTAGAATATCATCCAGATGCAAGACTTCTTGGCTCAGATCCTGAAACTCTTTGTACTGCTCCTTATGCGGCTCCAACGCAAGGAAAAGGCCGCTGAAGGCGTCCTCCAGGCTGCCATCCAGAAAAGACCTGCAGCCTTCCGACTCCCCACTGACAGAGCCCTCGTAGAGCTGCCTCTCGGCAGCTGCTGGGCCCTCGGCCGAGGTGAGCCTCTTTACCAGCTGCTTCGTGAGGTTCCCCTCGAAAGTGTCCAGCTCCACCGGCTTCAGCTCAGAGGCTTCATCGGACTCCTGCAGGAGGGCCTCAGCCACCCCGTCCTCCAGGAACAGGGGCTTGGAGCCAGCAACCGGGGCCAAGGCTGCTTTCTCGGGCTCTGCTGTGTCCCCCTGCAGGGGGCACCCTGGCTCCTGGCCTTGGCCCAGGGAGCTGCTGGAGGATGCGGAGCCGCTGTCCTCCGTGCCCTCGCTCTGGGAGCACAGGCTGCCGTGGGAGTGCTCTGCGGCAGTGATGGTGATCTCGGGGTTGGCCAAGCTCGAGCTGGAGGGAGACACAGCTGAGCTGGAGGTGAGCGTGCAGTCCCCATCGGGGAGGTCACTGAGGCTGAGGGACAGTGGCATCTTCTCCTCAGCTGCCTTTCCGTCTTCAAAGATGTCATCGGGTAGGTTCGACTGTGGATAAAATGCACCTCGTTATTATCTTCAATATAGATAATGCATTTGGCACAGTTTATTTCCGAAAAAAATAGAAGGCACTAAAAATGAAAACCCCACAACTTTCACGTGAACATTTCTTGTGTTTGTGTGTGCATGCTCGCAGGCACAGGCACACTTGTCTATGGTGGGCAAAGGAAAACAGCCATTACAAACTCGGTTTCCAGTGTTGAATCTGGGTGAAAGTTCACAGCATCATTCTTAGGTTTGGCATTTTTCAAAAGAAAAGGTTGGGGGTGGGTAGGGATGTTGCTGGTTTCTTGAATCCCAGGATGGAGCCATATTTGGCAGCCACCATTAGGAATCAGCACAAATGTCTTTCTTCTTGGCGTCTGTCTCACAAGACTTCCCAACATCTGTAATATTTTGCTCCAAAGATGTGATGTTTTGTTCTGCTTCAGTTCTCAAAAATTGTTTTTGAAAATCCCTACCCACAAATCCCAAGCTCTTGACAATGTTTTATTAATTTAGTAACCATGCCATACATAATTCAAGGCCAGCAATACATTTGCATAGTTTCTCTAGAAGTAGGAAACTAATAAATGGAGCATCTGTCTTCCAGCAGGCCGAGCCCAGGCTCTCCAGGGTCCAGAAAAACCGTCCTGTGCCAGGCAGCCCCGTGCTGTGTCACAGGTACATGCTGTGTCACAAAGCAGGAGCTGAAGAGACAGGGTCACAATATCCAGGTAACCAGGATCATTTGGTCTGGGCAGCAATGCAGTTTCTTTCTTCTTCTTTTTTTTTTGTTTTTCATTAAGTTTATTGGTACATTTTAGGTATATAATATCATGACATTCCTCATTGAGAATTTGTACCTATACATGATATATCTTGGTTCTTATGTTTTCCCCTTCCCCTGCCCTCCCTTCAACCCCTCTACCCCTCCCTATTTACAAAGGCTTTGTTTCCATTTTTTCCTTTTCTCATATTTTTTCCTTTCCCTTCTTGCCTTTCCCCTAGCAGTTCAGTTTCTAAGTCAGCTTTCCTTGCACTGTGGTCTGTGTGTGGTGCCTAAATGTCAGATGTTCCTTTCCAGAAAAGGTTTTCTAGTTAATTGAACTTAGCCCCTTCAAGATGGTTAATTTTTCTACATTCCAGATCAGATTATTAAAGTATAGTCAGTTCTCTGTACCTGGGGGTTCAACATCTACAGATTCAACCAACTGTAGATCAAAACCACTTGGGAAAAAGTTGGGAGTGCGCCTGTGCAAGGTTTTATTTTCCTTCTTACTCCCTACACGATAGAGTGCAATAAGGATTTACCCAGCATGCACACTGTACTAGGTAGTACAGAGACCAGGATGACTTCCAAACACGGAGGATGTGTGTGGGTTATATGTAAATCCTGCCCCCTGTGTGTAAGGGCCTTGAACACTTGGGTTTTGGTTTCTGAGGGCTTCTGGAATCAGCCCCCTACAGATACCCACGGACAACTACAAACAGTAAGTATCAAGTGAATAACTATTTTAATTATATATAAAATCACGAATTCTCACTATTGCGCTGGAAATGAGCCCAGGGAACAAAATGTTCCAGCAAGTGAAAGGGGGGAGGCAGAAGGACAGAGGCTCCCTGTCTCCTCCTGTGGTGTCATGGGTCCTGGCGCGGCTGAAGCTGCAGCCACTGGACCCCAGTACAGGCGTTAATTCCACCCACACTGCCCACTCTAGTCTGGTGGTTGTTGTTGTTTCGGTACTGGGTATTGAACCCAGGGCCTTTGCACTGAGCTACATCCTCACCCCTTCTTACTTGTTTATTCATTTTTATATCTGAGACAGGACTAAGTTGCCTGGGCTGGGCTTACACTTGCTGTCCTCCTGCCTCACCTTCCCGGAGTGCTGGGATTACAGGTGTGTGCCACCATGTCCAGCTTTCTCACCCTTCCTGAGCTGAGACTGTTTTTTATTAGTGACCACACACTGTGCTCCTTAAAGTCTTGGGGTGGCCATAGTTCTGTGGCTCCTTTTTCTCCCTCTATTTATGGGGACATTTTTGGGGGGATGGATGGAAGAAGGCCTGGAGTCTTTCTCCATGGAGCTGCCTCAGCCTCTGCATCAAACCCTGGGCTTCTCCAAGTCACCCTGCCCAGACTGGTCCAAGCATGTGCCCATACAGCTCATGGTGGCCTCGAGGTAGTGGCAGGCAGGGCCGTGGGGAGAACTGGGTAGTCCAGGCTCTCATCCATGTTCTTAAGTCTTCCTGGGCCCTGCAAGTCCCACAGCCCTAAAACCAATTAGCATCTCCTTCCATGTGGCAAGTATTGAGCAGGACTAAACTGAGAGGCCTGTCCAAGGGGGCTTGGAGTCTACTGAGGGGACAAAGCCTTCAACAGGAGGAAATGGCACAAGGGAACTGTCAAGGAAGAAAGTCATAGCAGAGCAGGATTAGCTCAGACCACTTAGGACGAAGACAGTCCTGTGACACCAGCTTCCACCCATGCACAGGGGACCTGAACGGTGCTGTCTGTACCTTCTACCTGTATGTGCTCACCTTGTGGACTGGCCCAGTTGGAGAGTTCTGGAATGAAACCCACCCATGAGCTTTTGTGACAGCATGTGAGGCCATTTCCCTGTGCAACCCATTTTGTACCACACAGTTTGACTTTCATAGCACCCAGCATAATCCTGGAAGCACAAGATGTGTAAGTAACACCTCCTCTTACAGTGTAAAGTGTAAAAATAGCCACTGTCTCATAAGACCATGGACATTTTTAAGTCTGCTTGAATTCTTTGTCTGGGTATTGTGATTCTAATAAGCCTCAAATAAACACAATTCTTTGCTCTTTACCTTGGTTGACAGATGCATGTTGGGACTCAAGTATAATTGTCATGGATAAGAGTCCCAGCAAGGGGAGAGATGCTCCTGAGAAAGAGAGGTGGTCCTATAACCCAATCTTGGAGGATGTGGGGGGAGGGGGCAGAAAAAGGAGGAAGAAGCATGCTGTACCTTTATTTTTTTTCTCTGCAGTGCTGGGGATGGAACTCAGGATTTGCACTTACTGGGAAAGTGCTCTGCCACTGAGCTACACCCCCAGCCAAGGCAGGTTCTGGAGGGAACAATGTATGCAAACATCAGAGACCCTGAAAGGATGAGGCACATTTGGGGGACAGTGGGGTGATCAGAGGGTGGAGGTCGGAGGTGGGCCTGGAGGGGCAGGCTGTGGGCAGAGAGCAGCAGCTGCTGTGCGGTCTTTGTGTTCTCCCACAAGGCAATAGGAACTCACCAAGCTTTTTCTAATTGTGCTCTTATTCCAATATGCTATTAGACCTCTACCAAATCTCCTCCATAGCCCTCCAGCTTATAGCACAGGAGCATGAATGCATTGTTAGCTACAAGGCAGTTAGCACTGTATTAGCTCTATTGATTTTCAGTATATGTTTTCAAGCATTTTTCCCCAAATGGTCCTCCTATTTTCCCTTGAAACTCCACTAGAGTTTAGCTTTAATTTAGTGAATTAGATGCAATTATTATTATCATTAACTAGAAGACTTTCAACCTTTTCCTTTCAGAATATTCAAATGTGACTTTTATGAGTCTGAGAATAGCAGAAGACTCCATATATGTGTGCATACATGTGTGTATTCTCTTGCGATGTAATGTATAATTCATGTAAATACATTGATGTATTCCTAGAAGTTATAGGGTTTATTTTGCTAAGGCATTGGAGAATCAACAAGGGTACAGTAAACTAAGACTTACAACCTGTTTTTTTAAAAAGAGAAACAGCTCTAGTGAAATTGATTTAATTCTTCTGAGTCTCTTGAACACCAGTTTCTGAGAGCTTGGCTGGAGGTTCTAGCAGGGGAGTGCAGCTACTCGTTTACCCTTGACCGAGGAAACGGTCCTCCTCTATCGGGGGTGGTCGTCCTCTTGACCGAGCGTGCAGCTTTGGGAGGGACGCACATGGAGTGATGAGGGAGAAAGGGGGCACACATCTAGCCAGCCAGATCAGCTGAATCCACCCTGGCAATCAATGGAGTGACAGACGTCGCTTGCCAGATTGCCCTCACTTCCTGAACACCAGTTTTTGAAAGGCTGATATCAGCAATAAACTAGTTACCTTCTGAAATTAAATTTCCTTTGTTCTTAAGGATAAGTGTTTTTTAAAAACAAAAATCTTGTTACCATGGTTATCTTGGCCACAGTGAAGAAAAAGAACCACAGCACAAAAACAAGGCTGGTTAGAAGAGAAAGCCACAGAAGGGGCATGCACGGCCAACCTCCCTCCCAAGGGACAGAAGAGTGGCCACCACTACCCGGAGAGCAGGATAGAGAAATCAAGCAAGCAAGAGACATGCTGAAGCAGGCATGCCACCAGTCCCCAGAGTCAAGTACATCACACGGGCAGGCCACACTCACATAGAACTCTAGCACGGCCCTGGGGCTCAGGCCAAGGGAGGGCAGGTCACCGACAGAGCAGCCGCCATGCGGCTTGGCAAAGACAGTGTCTCGCAAGGCACTGAAGACAGACAGCCGCCTTGGCTTGTCTGGTGAAGGAAGCAACCATCTCTTCAGAAGGCAAGGTAAGATGAGGGAGTTAGTGGAAAGAATCAGGTTATCAAGTTTTACACATCCATGCAAATAAGGAGGCCCTTACTTATACCCACTTCTTGAAAAGGGTAATCTTAGAGAAAGTTTATTATTACACAGCAACAGGAATGGCAGGGCAAGGGCAGAGGAGAGACAGAGAACGTTCCCTTGCAGATGCAAGGGGTTGGCCACGGGAGTGCTGGCTCCCTGGGTCACCACTGGATCAGGACAACCTTTGGGAATCCTAATACAATATTAGGAATTCTGGAGAATCCGTCACCCTGTCTGTAAAGGATCTCAAATGCAGGACACACCCCCTGGCTCGGGCTCATTGTGTCCACCCCAGAAGTCATGGTGAACTTACAAAGAATGCGTGGTCTTTGAAGGAGGGGGTGTCCGGTGTGCCCTGGCTGTACATGGACATCCTCCTCTGGAGCGCCACTGCCTTGTTCCCAGCACCCGAGGATGGGGTCGTGTCCTCCACGTCAAATGGACTGCAAAACAACAGGTCCCCAGGTGTCACATCTGTTAGCACCCCTTATAATCAACAGACTGCTGACCACAGACCAAGAAAGCACCAAATTGTGCTAAAGTCCATGCAAACCAGTAGGAATTGGGTGGGTTTTGGTTAAATTGGTTTGTCAGAAAATAAACCAAGAGAAACGACAGTGGAGCAGAAGCCTGACTCCAGACTCACTCAAGGGACCACGAATTATTACAGTTTCAAGCACACTCTATCTCTACAGCTAGCTGTGTCTGCTTTCTGGTGAATGTTAGAAATATGAACACAGCAATGCTTGCCCTGACATCACAAGATGTTGGAAGTCTATAAAAATTCTTTGAGCTTTGTTGGACCTGACACTTGAACAATACAAGTGATTAGCAGATTCTTCTAAAATAGCATCCCATTTATTTCAGTTGATAGGGCCTCCTGCATGATGGAGCGTAATAGTCTATTCACAATGAGGCTGATAACATCTTTTGTTGTATGTATGTATGTATGTGTGTGCAGTACTGAGTATTCATCCCAGGGCCATCACATTGAGCTACATCCTCAGCCCCAACTCTCTTTTTTAAAAAATTGAGACAGGGATTTGCTAAGTCACTAAGTTGCTCAGGCCGGGTTGGATCTTGCAATCTTCCTGCCTCAGCCTCCCAGAGTGCTGGTATTACAGGTGTGCACCACCACACCTGGCTTCTGATAGTATCTTAGTATAAGATTCAAGAGAAGAATGACCTTGCCAGGGCCAGGCAAAGTGCTGACACTATGCCAATGACAAGGTGATAGGGCTTGTATCTAGATATCCCCCGACAAAGCTACATGTACTCATAGGTGGGGCTTTTGGGAGTGACTGGATCATTGGTGTGTGATACTGGATTAGTTGACTGATTGGCCTAGTTTAGTTCTGGATGTGGATGATGGATTTACTGAAGAGGGAAGACCCATACTGGGTATGAGTGGCACCAACCAATAGGCTTGTAGCCTGGACAGAATAAAAAGCGAAAGGGAGGCTTGCTGCTGCTGCCTCCTGCCTCCCTTGTCATGGACTGTTTCTCCTCTGCCATGCTGCCCTATCTGGGAGCCAGCTATGGACTGAAACTTCTACAAATTGAGCCAAAATAAACCCTTCGTTTTTTAACTTTGAGTGTTGAGTATTTTGTCCTAGCAACAAGAAACTAAGACTGGGCCTTTGGCACTTCCACATCTGACTGACATTTAAAATGGAGGCCCTGGATGTGAATATCAATGTATCATATTTACTTGGTAATTCCATTACCAGTGTCAAAATATCAAGTGTTGTGAACTACCAGTGCTGACTCATCATGAATCTTTCCCACAGGGTGACTTTGGAAAACTGTTTTCAGTTCATACAAAAGATAACCTCTTGGTCTTTGGAACTAGTGCATTTCAGTCTAGAGCAAAGAAAAGCTAAGGATGTTTGCAATTTTCTGGGTCAGTGTGAAGTATATGAGATAAGGAGGGATAAGCAATTAAAGCACCACAGTGAGAAGCAGGATCTTTCTGAGAGTAAAATATGTCATGTTAGTCGTTTTCTTTCACATTAATTAATTTCAGGGAGATATATGTGTGTGTGTGTGTGTGTGTGTGTGTGTGTGTGTGTGTGAGAGAGAGAGAGAGAGAGAGAGAGAGAGAGAGAGAGAGAGAGAGAAAAGAGAGGCAGAATAAAATGCTTGAAAGCAGAAAGTAGAAGAGTAGCTGAGCCCTGAGTCTCCTACTTTGTCCTGTGCACACCTGGCGTCACCTGGCAAGTTTGCTTCATATACTCTGGGGCCAAGAGGGTGGTGCCACAGGTCAGGTGTGGCCTGACAACCCCTAGGCCAAGCCAATGGCCCAGCCCCAGCCGTGAGGACGCCGGCCTGCCGCACACGTTTCTACACGAGGAATGTGACAAGGGCCACTTACTACCAGGTGATTTCCAGATTCAGTTTGATGGTGCCAAGGTCGTTGATGTCAACAGCCACCACCTGTGGGCGGGCAGCAAACAGCTCTTTGGTCTCGCAAGTCACACTGCCCACCAGGATGTGAGTCGCCAGCCCCTTGAGCTCTGTGACCTGGTGGGGAAAGGAGGAGATTCTGGCCTTTTGCTTTCTTGGCCAGTTGGGCACCTTCAGAGTCACACCTGAGGTCAGAGGTGGAGTTCAAAAGCCCATCAGGAGGTCCCCCACCCCTGGGTCATTGGCTGCTGTGGCCAGAAGAGCAACCAAAGGCAGCAACCACACTGCACCTTGATGGAAATGAGCCCAACTATCAGCGGCAGGAAAACCGTCTCTTCTCCGTCCCAGCTCTGCTTGCCATTGACTTCTATTCTGCCTTTCAGCTTCCACCTCTGCCGGCCATACTTCATGAAAATCTGGAGGAGATAGCGGACAGTCCTCATGTCCCCACCTCTGCTTCTCAAGTCCCAGGTCACAGCGCACCAGGGAGGCAACTGCTGCTCCTCCCTCTCCCCATCATCACCCCACATGTCCATCCTATTCTGGGTTTGTGGTGAGGGCACATGAGTGGGAAGAGGTTTAAGGAGGAGCCCTGGAGGATTTGCCAGGGAACAGTCATCACATCGCGCCTTTCTGCTCATGCGCTGAATGCGTCTCTCGTTAGTCCTACTTGGCAGGACTGCCATGGGAACCTATTCTTCACAGACTCCCACTGCTCAGAGAGGCAGGAAACCAGCACTAAAATCTACGTAGCAGTCAGAGCAAGGAATGAAATCAGCCTCCCTTGGGATGAGGGACTGAGACCCCTCATGGTCTGGGTCTCCTTGGTCAGACAGCCACAATGACAACAGAGGGCTTGGAAGAGACAGAAAGAATGATTATGCAAGGTCCCTTTGGAAGAGGAAAAGCTAAAAGGCCTTTTTGACTTTATGGAGTACATTTGAATAGAGAATGATCTAGATGTTATTATTCTTTGGACACAGTACTTAGGATCAGTTGTGATCCTGGACTGGATCAAAAAATTTTACTGTAAAGTACATTATGGGGACACTGGGCAAAGTGCATGTGGATTGTGTCCAGTGACACGATCTGGAGCACTGGTGTTAAATGTGCTGGTGAGGAAGTGTGTGATGTCTCTGAGAGAGAAGACCCATGCGTTGTTGGGAGGAAAACTCAGGGATGAGGGTCACAGTGTCTGTATCTCACTCCCACGTCGTTTGGCGAAATAGCAACACGATGGTAATCATCGTCATAAAGCAACTGTGCTGATGTCAAAACGGGGGAAATCAGGATGAATGTTATAGGAGGTCTTGTACCAAACTCCAGGGTTTCTCACTGGCTTAAGATGTCTTTAAAAGAAGAGGCAATTTAAGAAGCAAGACAATGACAACTGCCCAGTGCCCTCTAAGTCCTCAATCCCAACACCTTGGGCCACACAGAACTTACCTCATATTGATCTCCAGGGCAGAGGCGAGCAAAGCCAGCCAGACCTGCAAGCAAGCAGTTGGATGTGAGGCTCCGAGCACATTACCTTCTTTAGAGGCCTGCCCTGGTCCATTTAAAGAATTCAAGTGAAGCGGGGCAGCCTTTGGGGGAAACTCAGATAACAGTTTTGGGGGCCGTCTGTGACTTCGTGGGGACATCATCTCTGCCGGCTGGAGAGGACATTCATTTCCCCATGGGCAGTGGTGGGGGTGTCTGTGGCACAGGGGGCTGCTCAGCGGGGGCCAGAGCTCTGTGTACCTTTAGCAGGTGAACTATGTGGCCATACACTGGGACAGCTCAGGAACTGTGGCTTTGATCAGTCTCTATGTTTTTCTTTCTGTAGATATTTACTGGGAGCCACAGTGCGAGAGTCTATGCTAGGCAGAGGGGTTAACAATTTAGAAATTAAGGAAGATTTCACAGATACCCACAGGGTAGAACGAAATATGGTTAAAGCCCATGAGAATGAGGTAGACGAGGACCCGTAGGCAGGAGATGGAGTGAAAGGCGAGCCTCCTTTCTGTTCCACCCACCGGCGGCCCCTCTAGGTGATGTCCTCAGCCCAGTGTCTCCATCTAACAATGGGGACAACATCCCCCTTATGGAACTGATTTAAGGACAGTAGATGGTATCTGGCACACAGAAGGTGCTCAGTTTGAGGTGATGATTATAAGTCCAGGGGTGGGGAAACCTATGTACCAAGCGTGTGCCTCGTGACGAGACAAAGCACCCTGATTTCCATCAAGGAGGGGACAGCGGTGGACAGCAGTCTTTGTCTTTTTCTGCATTTTGTGTTTTTAGGAGAATGTGTTCCTTACATAATTATAATTAAGACACACACAGACATGTATACACACACACACACACACACACACACTGCCTCTCATTTAGGGAAGCAAGTAGCATCTGCAAGCAGAATTTCATCACAGATAAGGAGGCATTGCAGCACAGGCAGCAACTGGGTGAATGAGGGCATGTGTGCATTCAGCCACCACTTTTTGTGCTTGCTGGGGATTTCTATCCTCATGCATGGCCTCATGCAAGCAGGGCAAGCACTCTACTGCTGAGCTGCACTCCAAGAGTAATTTTTTAATGTTCACTGTGTGGAAGACAGCTGGGATGTCACATGTACATCATGAACGCAGGGAACCTGGTTCCCCCCCCCCAAGGCTCAGCTGTAATTACTTTTAATTTAATCTGGATTTATTGGGCTGTTTCTGTGCTGATGACAAAGCAAAGCCTTTTACATTCATAGGGACCCAGAGGTTGAAAGATTTAATCAAGGAACTAAACAAATTTAATATGAACATGCAGAAATCTTTATCATTTTTAACTTTCTAATAAAAAATAATCCAATTTTATCAAGATAAAATTCTGTTTAAAAATTCAAAACAGGGCCAGATGTGGTGGCACACATCTGTAATCCCAGTACTCAGGAGGCTGAGGCAAGAGGATCGTCCTGAATTTGAGGCCAGCCTGGGCTACACAGTGAGATTAAGACCACCCTGAATTACAGAGCAAGACTCTGACTAAAAATAAATTTTTTTTTCAACACAAATGTAAACATTTAATGAAAAACAGTATTTATAATGTACTATTTGAAAAAACAAGGCAGGCCATGAGACTTTATGTAGAGTATAATCTTAACTATATATAAATGTATCCACAGGAACAAGTCTAAAAAATAAACCTGCCTAACTTAAAAAATAATCATCTCTGGCAAGGTGGAATTGCAGAGAAAGTTAAAATTTTGACATTAAGTTGTAATTTCTATTGGAGTTTTTGAAAGATCATGTAATTAACTTGTAATAAAAAAGAAAAAAAGATATAGAAAGATCATAATATGTTGGGAGGCAGCATAAACATAGTAAAGACTGGTTGGCTATTTATGATAATTTTAACAGAGGTTAGCAGTGGGTGGAACAATTCTGTGTGATTTCCATTTTGGCGGTGTATTTTTCAGTGTTTTAAAAATGATAAGGTATTACTTTCAAAATGTTAAAGTAGAGATTCAAGAAGACACAAACAATCCTCTGTTTGCCCCGGGAATTGGTAGAGGCACCTGAGAGGAAATCATTTAGGTTAGCAGATACAAAAACTGCTCTGTGAGTTCTGGGCTGTTTTTTTTTTTTTTTCTTTTTTGGTACCATGGATTGAACTCGGGTCCTTGTGCTTGCAGGGCAAGCAGTGGAACCACTGAGCTAAATCCCTGGCCCTGGGCTGTTTTTATACTAACCATGACCTTACTCAAGTAAAGATGATGGTGATGGTGTCACACAATGTGGCTTGGTGATGGTGTAGCTTCTGTGGATAGCCCCATTAAGGCGCTGTAACACCTGAATAAACAATCCGCTTCCACCTGGCTGATGGGCCCGGCTAGGGTGAAGCCCAGGGCGGTGCCAAAGGCACTTGCCATTACCACTGGTGCCCAGTAGGTGGCAGCACATCACCAGCTCCTCACGCCTTCTGCCCACCAGTCTATCCATTTAGGAACGCTTTCTTTAATAATTGCAGCTTAACAAGCCACTTCAAGAGACTTATTGAAATAAGAGCAGAATTAAACCTATTTTCACTAAGAGTTCTGGAACATTTAGTCTTTTAAAAAAATACTTCTGAAAGAAAACATAATTGGCTGGCTTTTATAAATCCAAAGCTTGACATGTTAATTCTAATCAAATCTAAAGTGCTCTTTAAAGACCTGCAGATTGGTTTGGGATTAATCCATTGCCTGTTTACCTGTGCAATTACAGTGGAAGCCTGGCTAAAAAGAAACTGATCTGGTATCATTGCTAGACAAAGGTGAGGGGAGGAGGAATCCTTTGAAGGATTTTTTGTTTCCCTCTTTCAAAATTATCAGAGATTTCATATATGAAGAACTTTGGGCCAGGGATTTAGCTCAGTGGTTCTGCCACCTGCCTTGAAAGCGCAAGGTCCTGAGTTCGATCCCCGGTACCAAAAAACAAAAACAAAAACAAAACAGAACTTAACTGGATGGGAGAAAGGTATATGCTAGGGATTTTTTGAGCTTCTGAATCCATATTATTAAAGTGTTTGGACTTGATTGTAGTAGCATCTTGGATTCTCTGATTATAGCAATAATGTAGCAAAATGGCACCAGCTGGGCAGAACCAGCTCTGGTACTGGGTTCTGAGAGCTGTGTATCAGCTCCTGGTCCAGGCAAGAGTTGGGGCTGACAGTGGGAGATGGCTTCTTTGAGGCTGGGTGGGTTCTTTTAGGCTCTGCTCCAGGGCCTGCTGGCATTTCAGCAGTGGGAAGAAGTAAGTATTTTCTCAGGGTTTGCTGAGTTCTGCTGCACCATCCAGGGAGTTTCCATGGTGATCACTCAAAGCCATGCCCGGGGTTACCTCTGAGGGGTGGTGTGGGGCCGCTGTCTTGTATCCATGGTGTACCCGCCCTCTGACACCTCTGCTAACAGACAGACAGACACTTCCACAGGTCACCTGGAGACCCAGAGCTGCACACGAGGCCCTCACCCATGTCTTCCTGTGCTCAGACACGGTTTCCCAGAAAAGTGGTTCCCCCCCCCCCCCCCCCCCAGTTCTACCATGATTTTCCTTCCCAAGAGTCACCTCCTGCTCTAAGGAAAAGAGCCAAGTAGCTGACAGTGGGGGGCTCCGGTTACATGCTTTCCCATTCATGGCCTGGACATAAATAATGCAGGCTCTCTAGCTGACTGCAGGCCTGACTTGCCCCAAACCAGGGCCAGCATGAACTGCTGCACCTACACATGCCTGGAACTTAATTTGAGTGAAGTAATAATTGGGAAGAAAATCAGTTTTCCCTAAAGGACCACATCTCTCAAGCCCCTTTCTGCCTCACAGCTGCAGCTCTGAAGCTCTTTCTAGTGAGCATTCCTGGCTCCGCAGAAACAGCTCTCCCTGTCTCATCTCCTCACGAGCACTTTGCCGCACCAGTCTACCCAGCATGGTTACTTCCCCTCCCGTGAATGCTACTCAGGCCCTCAGGTTCTCAGTGTACACTGGGAGGCCTCTCTCTTTCCTGCTCTCTGCCCTCTGACAGTGAGTGGCAGCTTCCTCCTCTCCCTTCAGGCTTTTACAGCTACCTGGTCTTGCTATTGGTTCAGCAGGTCACTGAGTCAATTTACTTAGGATACACTGGCTCATAACTGCTCTGACTGAAAAATATGGTGAATGTTGAAATTTAAAAAAAAATTATTACTGTAAGAGACATATTACCATGAATCCCCCTCAAAGTACTCCTCTTCTCTTTCAATCCACTTATCCCATCATTCTTGCTACTTTCTGAAGCAGCTCTGGAAGTCCTTTTCTGTGAGCATCTTCAGTTGCACTGTTGTGGCTGCCTCAGTGTCCTGAATCCATTCCAAACATTCACTCCATGGTCATTTTGACTTTGGGGAAGAGCCAGAAATCTCAGGGTTCCAGATCCAGTGATGAACAAAATGGAGCAGGACATCATCGCCATGTTTTTATGAGCCTGTCTTTCCATTGAATGGCACTAGGAAGCCACATTTATTATATTTTTTTATCACACCTTATAAAGATACCCACAAAAGAGGACTTCCAGAACTGCTTCAGAAAGTGGCCAGAACAATGGGAAAAGTGTGACTGAAGTGAGGGGAATGTTTAGAGGGGGATTATTGAGAATGTGTCTTTTACTCTAATAAATTTTTAAACATTCCACATATTTTTTGATCACCCTATGTATGTCCACCTTCTCCAGCAGGCTGAGTGGAATCCAAGGCCCAGCTGCCATCATCAGGAGGCAGCCTCATGCCAGGCAGGACAGGTGCTCAGTCAGCGCTGGCTCCGTCTTTACCATCGTTCCTGCCCCCACCCTTCCCCAGCTGTCCTGCCTGTGTGGTGGGGCAGAAACGGAAGTGTAGAAGGGTGTGGTGGGAGGAAGTCAGGGCCTAACAGGTCTGCGAAGGTTGTGAAACAGTCTGGGTTTGCCCCTATGTATGTTGGGGGAGGTTGTTTTTACCAGAACGAGTAAGAGAGAAGGAGGCAGCTAATGGCAAAGATCTGGGCTTTCTTGGCAGCCAGCAGGTTTTCTTTTCCCCTTCGGGAGGGAAAGAAGATATCCCCGGGGGTGTTATCCATGAGAGGCAGCAAGCACATCAGTAGTTTCTGAATTTTTTTGTTAGATTAGGCAAGTGGAGGTGACAGAAGTTCATCGGTGAAAAGGAGAATCCGTTTGGGGCCCCTGCCTGGAGACCCTGAGTCTGAGGAAGCAGACAAGGAAAGGAAAGTGAAAGAGGGAGGGGGCCAAGAGGTGCAGCAGCCCTGACCCACTGCAGCAGGCCCTACAGCCCCTGGGGCAGGGCCTTAGCACCATCCCAGCAGGCCCAGGCGGAGCCAGGGTGGGTGGGCAGCCCCTTTCCCTTGCCCGCTTCTGGGGTGGCAGTGGGAGCCATCCTGTTAGCGTCTGCTGCACTGCTGAAACATCCTTTTAATGTGGGGCTGGCTGGGGTGGGAGTGCACCGGGAGCCCTAGAATTCAGTTCAGGTTTGATACCATCTTACTTCTTGGAAAAGTCATTCCCATCTGTGAAATGGAAACATTATCACTCCACTGAAAGGTGACGTGTTTGACAATAGTGAGTGTGACAAACAGAGGAGACCTGGGCCTCCTTATATGAGCAGCAACTTGTGTGACCTGAATTTCTCGTAGGCCCCACAGGCTGTGCCTGAGTGTTGTACCGTGGGGCCCAGCCCAGCTCTGTGGATTCTGAGCTGCTGGGAGGGGTGGGGGCTGAGCAGTTCTGAACTATCGACTTAGGTGAAGGAGGACCCAAGGGGAGGAGAATGACCCTAAAACACAGAAAAGGTCTAGGTGCCCAACTCAGAAGTGAGGCAGGCAGCGAGTATCACAGACCTGCCACAGATGCCGTGGAGGGCAGGATGGGCTGCTGGGAGCTGGGGTCAAGGTCGTTCTTACCCAGCGGCTCTCTCCTGTCGGGCACAGTACTTTCCCTCCTGAGTTAGATGACTCTGACTCCTTTGAAAATAAGGCTCTCCTGTTGAGCACTGTTAGAAGTCTCCCTCCCTACTCCCGTAATTGCAGAAGGTAGACAAGAGGGTGATTAAATTCCCATTAACAACCCAGGGATTAAGCGCCTAAAAAGCTCAGCCAAAAGTAAATAAATAAATAAGTAAATAAGCAAGCAAGCACCTCCGCTCTGGGCTGCCCTCAAATGGGACCGGAGAAGAGAAGAGGGTGCCCCTCCCTCCCAGTCCAGTTCTTTTCACCAGCCCTGCCAGCCACAGAGCTGTAAAAGCGGCTACACCGGGGAAAAGCTCCTTTTCTAAAACCAGGCTTCCTTTGCATTCTGAAGAGGACCCTCTTGCATAAATCAACAATGGTTCCAGACTGGAACTCTCTGGAATAGACACCCTAAAGTCACAATCATTTGTGGGTTTAACATTCAGATTAGAAAGCAAACAAACCTGGTAGGTAGTTTACAGAAACATGGTAATGAGGGGACAATTTCAATGACAACACAAAGAGGCCAAGGCACAAGTCAAATAAGAGGCATTTGGCCAGCAGTGGTTTCTACACAGCGGCAGGACAAAGCAGGGGGATTGTTTCAGATGAAGGGAAACCTGAAGATATACCGAACAGCTCATTATAACACACGGACTTTGTGTGCATCCTAAACAAACAACTGTACAAAGCATTTTTGAGACAGCTGGGAAATTTCGCAATAAAATAGGTTAAGAACAAAGGTGCATTCACCTTGTTAGATGTGAGAATGGGATGGGACTGAGTTACGGAGAAAGCCTATTAGGAGGTGCAGCTGCAGGACCCAGCGCCAGGCTGACAAAACTGGGTTTGATTTCATCAAAAGACTTCTCTTTCATCAAAGGGAAAACAAAGAAAGGAAAACAGGCAAATGCGGCAAAATCTTGCTAATTACTGAATGTAGGCAATGGGCGTCTGGGATTAATGGGAATGTTCTCTCTGCTTCTGTGTGTGTTTGAGAGTCTCTCATAATAAGCGAATGTGTTAAGTGAGAAAGTCCGGCTTAGGATGAGAAGCATCAAAATAACGGTAGGGGGAGGGCTCAGAGCAGGCAGCATTGTCTTTGCAAGGAAAATCAAAATAGCATGTGCTGTCAGACTTCAGGGAGCTCAGCGAGCCAGCTCCCGACTGTCAGTGGGAAATTACCTTTCATCTTGATGGAGAATTCCCCCAGCAAGTTCTCCAGCTCCGCCTCGATGGTGCACATGTTCTGTGAAGAGACCAGGGCACTGGTGTTAGAGCTTCCTTTCACATGCTGGCCCCAAGCACAGGACATTTTAACAACTACACAGCCACTACGTGGATGATAGGAGGCATTTATTTGTTTTCAGTGAGCCACACAGGCTGGCCTTTGAGACATTGTGGACAAAATGTTTAATCCAAGGCATGAACAGGTTAAGCTACATCAAAAACACAGAAGTCCAGACTGTGGGATATTCTGGAAGAACTAGCCTGGGCTCTCTAAAAAGGCAGCATCATTGGGGAAAGAGTTCTGCAGAGCCAGACACAATGACATAGGTCTGTAATCTCAGCTACTTGGAGGCTGAGGCAGGAGGATCACAAATTCAAGGCCAGCCCAGGAAAACTAGCAAGATCCTGTCTCAAAATAAAAATCAAATTTAAAAAGAATGGCTAGGGATGTAGTACAGTGGTAGAGCACTTGTCTGAAGCATGAGCAAAGCCCTGGGTTCAGCCCTCAGCACCACAAAAAAAGAAAAAAGAAAAAAGAAGAAAAAGAAAAAGAAATCTAAGGAGATTACAGGGATATGATGGTCAAATATAACACTTAACCTTGGTTATGTCCTGATTTGAAAGATAAACAAATAATGTAAAATAGTTATGAAAGGCATTGTCATTTAGAAGAAATTTGAAAGTGGACATGATACTAGGCACTTGTACAGGATAGCTCGTTTTCTTCATTGTCATAATAGTGTGTGGTTCTGCTGAAGATGCAACATCACCTAGGTTACCATTCAGAGATCCACACTGTGTTAATGGGCCCAAGTGAGCCATTCTACAGTGTATGCCTATCTCAGTACATCATGTGCTGTGCCCCAGACATATACAATTTTCACTTGTCAATTTAAAAAATAGAGAGATCCATGCTAAAATATGCAGGGGGTAAAATGTCATGACATCTACTACTTATTATCAAATGACTCAGAAGAAAACATGATTTCACAAGAGACAAGAAAAGCGCATCTTGTCAAACATTACCAATGGGTATATCTAGGTAAAGGTGCCTGGGCTTCAGCATTTTGTCTTTCAACTTTTCTGTAGGTTTGACTTCATCTTTGTTGTCTGAGGCAGCCCTTCCTCTTGCTGAAACTGCACTGCATCTTTGAATTTCTGACAGAATGCATGATGCTAGGCTACCTGGGCACCTGACCAGGGTGGCTCCTTCTGAATTGACCTGGCTCAGGCAGCTTCTGCAGGGTGTGGGTCGGTTATCTGCTTCTGCACTCTGAACAGCCTCTATAACTGGAAACTGCTTTTATAATTTCAGAGACCTGTACGAATGAGGTCTCACGAAGTAGGATTTAACCTTTGGGTCCACACTTGTGGATCGGGGGCAGCAGCAAGAGTCAGTCTTATTTTCGCTAACCTCTCCTGGAATTTAACACATCCGCACGCCATGAGTGTAGAAAACAAGCTAGAGCAATATCAGTAATACCTGTGTTTTGATACTGATAGCAATCACATGTTCATGTCGCATCACTGGTTGCGGAGAACTCAAGAAAATCTTTTATATTTTTAATCGCTTTGAAATTTTAGTAGGTCACTAGATTTTGTAATTTGGTATGTTAATTAAGTGGTAACGCAGTACTCTGTCACACAATCAAGTTTTAAGATATTTTGACAAATGTATTCATAACCTTAAAAAATTGTATTATAATACTTATTTTTCCTTTGAATTCTAATTTTAATTTGGGGCACTAAAAAAATTATTCTGAGCCAGGTGTGGTGATGTACGCCTGTAATCCCAGCTACTTGGGAGGCTGAAGCAGGAGGATCGTGAGCTGGAGTTCAGCCTAAGCAATTTAGTGAGACCCTGCCTCAAAAAACCCAAAACAAAACAAAAACAAAAATAATTTTTTTTTTTGCTACTGAGGATCAAACTCAAGCAGGACCTTGCACTTGTGAGGCAGACACCTGTGCCACTGAGCTAATCCCCAGCCCAAACAGAAACAACTTTTTAAAAGGCTGGGGGGTGAAGCTCGGTAGTAGAGCAGCCCTGGATTCTATCCCTAGTACCACAAAACAAACACCAACAAAGCATTATTCTAAACAGGGCAGTTGGGTAAAAAAGAGCCCTATTTTAGGCCATGAAGAGAGACAGTCGGTGCTCAGATAAGAGGCAATGTGGGCGAGAGAGCGCACAGCAGTCCTGGAGCAAGACCTCAGCTCTGGGAATTGTGCAGCAGGCCCTCGGCAGGCAGGCTGGTGACTTCATTCATGAAATCTGATCTCTGAATAAAGACTCACGGGATGATGAGAAGTGCGGCTTTAATAATTCAGTCACTCCATCAGAGACTGGGGTGTCAGGTGACCCCAGGAGGGATGAAGACCTCCCTTTGTAGGCGGCATGGGCCCCAGAAACTAGGAAAGCACATTTCTGCTCATAGTTCTTTATCTTGTCTCCTTTAAAAGTTTTTCACTCACACAAAAAATTCCTAGGCAGGGGTTAGTGATATCCGACTGCCATTTGCTGGATCCCTCTCAACCACAGGGTCCGCTCAACCTCTAGGGGTAAAGCTCGATTGGACCATATGCTGGAATATTTGGAAACACATTCAAGTGACAAAAATCAGGGCACTGTGGCTTATTTTAAACAATTGCACTGGTTGCTTTGCTTGTTTTTTTGTTTGTTTTTGAGACTGGCAATAGCACTGTCTCTCTAGAGAGTGGACTGAAGTTGCAGGTTGTTGGTCACCTTGTTCTGGGCAGTGACCCAGAAACCAGATCAGGTGGGGTTAGGGTGCAGCACCAGGCAGGGAGGGGCAGGTTGTACCTCTGTGTACTCCTTGTAGCTCCGATTGATCTCAGACAGGCTCTCTCGGGCAGCTTTGCTGGCAGGGGACATTGCAAAGGCTTGCTTCATTTTGCTGGCACCATCTTGGAGGCGTCGCTGGATACAGTAAGCTTCATAGAGCTCATCTACCTGCCAGGGTCAAAACAGGAAGCACAGATATAAATGCCTGTCACTCTTGAGAGAAGTCGAATAGGTCACTGTCATGTGCTCAGGTACTCTATGTCCCTCACCCCAGAGAGGAGAATCTTACAGAAGTGTTCGTTTTCTAGACAGACCATTTGTATTTTCACCATTATGATCCTTTTTTTTTGTTTTGTTTTGGTCTCAAAACAGATTTCACAGATCCTGTTTTCAAACGGCACAAAATGAAAATGCCTGTCTTGCATTTCTCAGGGTTATCACAGGAAGGGTTTAAAATGACTCAAGGGTGGATATGTTGGTCCGTGGGGACCTGGGACAATGGAGACAGGGACCTTCTGTGTGTGGACCAAACACTGGAAGAGATTAGTTTCACACAAGGGTGAAAATTGTGTAGTATACACAGCTATTATCACTTTATTTTAAAAAGTATTGTCACAAGGTGATACCAGGTTCAGCATCTTTTATAAAGAACTCAGGGTTGTTTATTGAAATACATTTTTGTAAGGTCTTGGCTCAGTAATACAGAAAGAAATTGAAGTTACAGATACTATACTAAATTGTTCTTAAAATTAAGACAAAACACAATTGTCGAAACTCAAACTGAACACTTAAGAACTGTAAACTAAAAAAATGAAAATGAGCCTTCCCTCTGCTATACCTCTACACTTATGCTTCTAAGTCACAACATACCCTTTAAAATCACTGCTTTGTTGGGGGGGTTGTTTTGTTTTTTGAGACAGGGGCTCCCTATTAGCCCAGGCTGGCCTTGAACTCAAGGTAATCTTCCCATCTCAGCCTCCCCAGTGCTGGGATTACAGGTGTGCACCACCACACCTGGCTAGCTCTTTTAAGGCACTGATTCTCAATCAACTGAAGGTGATTTGTACCCTCAGGGTCTATTGGCATTTGGGTGTTTGGGGCTGCAGAACACTGTTCAATGCCCAGCATAGCCCCCTATATAACAAGGCCTGTTCTAGTCTATCATCAGGGCTGAGGTTGAACAAACCTCCTAACGGTATTTCTGATGATGTTGATCTCTGTAGATTTTTACTATCTCTGGTCTGTATAGTCTTGTACAGTTGCTGCTAAACCAACTGTAGTTAACCACAGGAATTTTTAGGCAGATAAGAAAAAACAAAATAAAAGATAGATAATAGGAAGTAGGAACACAGATCTTTCTAAAAGAGGAAATGGATCAATAGATGGAGAGAGGGGAGGGAAAGGGGATGAAAAAGGGAACTGGGATGTGTTAGGTACATGTATCAACTCCACTCAAGGAATGTAAACATTATGTACTATATACATGCACACAAAAAGGTGGGAGATTGGAGTTGGATGGACAGGGGGTTGGGGGGAGGGAAGGGAAAGGGGACAAAAGATGGAATGAAGATGCATTATGTACATTTACCGATTCCCTACAAAGAATGTAAACATTTTGTACTACAGACATGTACTAATAAAGAAAATGAAAAGGAAAGAAGAAAGTACCATACAATTAGACACTGGCAGAAGCAATGAAACCTAGTACTTCTGAGAGGCCGTTGCCTACCTAGGGCTATTTGGATTTTCATTCTAGGGTAAAATTTGTTCCCTCAAAAAGGAGGCTTCGGTGTAGATCTTGAAGAAGCTAAGATATGAATAGCAACTGTGTTTTAAACCCTATGAAGGTAGATATCTGAAAAGTAATGAATTTCAGAGCTTAAAATTTGTCTTTTGTTTTACAGGCAAACTTTTAGCTGCCTGCTAAAAAACATTACTACTACAGGTTGGAATAATATAGTTTTCTAGGATTGTTTTGTCTATACATATGTCAATGGTGCTTAGAATGTAAACCTGAAGAGACAGAACATTTTCTCTCTTAGTTCCTACTTAGTTCAACAATTCACTCAATTTTGCTGAGAGGAATTCCTAAACTCTGAGAATTGTCTTTAGTTCTCCAGGTTAAGAGAGCTCTTCCTGATTAAGAAGGAGGGATAAAACTCAAGGCCAGCATATCTGCTAATAATTTTTGTGTGTGTGTGGGAACTGGCATACGTGTAGTCTCTGTACCTTAAAACTAAGTTGAGACTACCCTGGTGTACTGGTTAAAATGCTGCAGGCTGCACCCTACTCTGAGATACTAATCCAGGAGGTGAGGCTGGACCAGAAATCTGAAATTTTAAATAAACACTACAGATCATTCTGAAGTGGGAGAGCCCCACCAGACTTCTGGAAACAGTGCTGATACCTCTTCCAGAAGGTATCAGACATATTATGATGGATGGCATCATTTTATTTATTGAGCTTGGCAGAAATGGAGCAATTTTAGATTTGCCTAGGTAATAAATATCTTTCAAAGCGGGAATGTACAAAGGCAAATGCATATACATATGTCCATACACATCTAAATCATATTCAAATTTTAAGCCTGAAAGGCTTCCTAGGATCCTCCGGATTGAATTTCTGCATTTCACAGAGTGAAGAGCCAAGGTCCGTGGAGTGTGTACAGCTGGGGCCAAAATCAAGATTTCTGATTACTAAGAGGGAGATGAGCTAAAACCTCCAGGACCCCACCTGGGACAGAGGCTGATGGGGGTGGATAGGAACAGGAATTGCCTGTGAATGGCTGCCTCCAAAGAGAAATCTTCTCTAGCTGATGCCGATGATTCCCAGCATTGTTCAGAACAAAGCCAATAGTCTTAGCCATAATGGGCTAGTTGGGCCATCTGTGAAATATTTATAGGGTTTGGGGCTGGCTCTCAGGGATGTTGAAACTATGCCATTTGAGGAAGAGAGGAAGGAACTGAGAACTTGAGAAAAATTTAGGGAGGCACACACTCTTGTCTTTCAGTAATTAAAAGCTCTTCATGCAAGCTGTGTGGGATTGACCAGAGGACAAAGCTAGTCATTGACGAAGTTCTTTGTTGGGTTGGGTTGGTTTGATCTTTTCTCTATCCACACTACACTGACACTAGACACCCTCTGCCAGGCACTTGGAGCCACACAGGAAGCTCCTGATAAATGTCTGCAGAGGTCTATCCAAACTGTGCTTGGCTATCAGGCTTTGCAGTCCTACTTCCCCTGTCTTTGCTGCCTATTGGAGGCCTTCATTGCTAATCAGCTAAACAGTAGATTAGATAGGAAATTTTCCGTGGATGCTACACTAAGCAAAAGGTGTATCAATCAGTAACCAAGGGCTGAAAACAGAGGCAGAGAGCAGAAGAACTTCACTTACCTTACTAATGTGGAACTCTAGGCGTCTCATGTATCTCTCGATTGTTTTCATTTGCTGGAGTGAAGAGAACGAGTTTGAAAAAGTATGTGCATTCGCAGTTCAATTGTTTTTGACGAGTGAGAATATTTTCTTTATAATTTCATATGTAAAAGTACAAGAAAATTTGCTTTTTCTACTTTCTTCCTATTTTTGTTGTTTTTTTTTTTTTCTTGGAGAGGCTCTAATATCAATTTGGAAAATATTTTCCAAACTATTGGATATTCTGAGAGATAAATTTGAGTTAATCATCATAATCCTTCTTTTTAACTTCAAGGGGCAGGGGGTTTATTCAGTGGAGTGCACTGGATTTCTGGCAGGATAGTATTATAATAAATTAGTTATTTTTTCATAATTTTTTTTTGGCTCTAAAATGGGCTTTTTTCCTTCACATTTTAGCGTCTGAAAACGGGGTGCATTTTATAATCACTCCAGGCCAAGTGGCAGATAGCTGCCTGTGCATGCTCACAGATAATCCTATTTGCTTCTGCGTCATCTCTGAGTTATAAATATTCTTGTTACTTGGATTTACTTTAATTGTCCTTTAAAATATCTTCAAAAGGAACATATGATGATTCAGCATTGAAACAGTTATTGTGTATACAGGAAGGCATGGAAAGAAGGCAACATCATATATTAACTAGAAAGAAAGAAAAAAATTTGTCTAAATAGGACTAAAGGAGTTTTGTTATTAAAAATAGAATACAACATTTAAGTTAACTGTGTGAGTTTAACAGAATTAGTTTTAGTTTCTGAGTGACACATAAGTGTGTTTTCAATACTTTCCCAATCAAAGATGTATTAGATTTGATAAAATATGGGAGTTAATATTTAAAGATAATTCAGGTAAGGGTGTCCAAACACTTGGAAGTTCTCAAACTTATCAGAAACATCAGCAGCTCTAACACCTTGTGGCATATTTGTGTTTGACCTCAAATGCGTTAGTGAACCTGCAGATCACAGTATTTACATGCCATCCTCCTTAGACAAAAGCATCGATTAGATTTGACTGTCCCCAGAGGTCTCTTACTGATACCAATCCACACACAGAATTTTATCTTTGTGTCAGCCCAACACTGTCGCTTACCTTGTCTAGGTCATACAGCACTCCCTGAAATAAAAAGGAGCATGTGGATTAGAACATATCCTCTCAAAAATATAAACACAGCAGTTTAGAGAACATTTCTGCAGTATCTGTGAAATGATCACCAGCCATGCAAAGTTCGGGTGGATGTTTTGATATTTGGTTAAAAAGAGTAGGAATCTGGGATACTTTTAATACCAGTAAGAGGACTTTTCAGAGACAATATCTGTTTGCATTCTGTTTCCCAAATTGCACCCAGTCCTCTCTGCCTCTTGGGAGCCATAAGGTTTTCATTTGGTTTCTGCTCTTCTGCCCTATATATTGAGGGGCAGGTGAATCTGTATTCAGCTTTGAAGTTTTAGAAAATAAGTTATGTTGGGCGGGGCACGTGGCCCACTGGTAACACACTTGCCTAGCATGTAAGAGGCCCTGGGTGGCCCCCCCAGCCCTGAAGAAACAACAAACAATACAGTAAAATACAAATGTACATAAAAACCAAATGTGATTCCCACGTAGACTCTAGCAGTGGTATATGCGTTGTTGTTTAGATCAATAAAATGGATTTTTAAGAAGAGTTCTTGAGGGTGGTGATATGGTTTCCCTAATTGTTTTTCAAGCAAGCTCATTTCTCATTTCCTGTGTTTGTGCAGCATCACCGTACACATGGTACGCAATCCACAACCTCCATCTGAAGGTCTTGTGGGTCACGAGGTCCTGGCAGAAGCCTCTCCATCCTTCCACCTCTTTTCTCTGAGGGAAAGGACCTGCTCTGGTGGAGGGTGGCCAAGGGTGTTCACGGGCTCTGAAGGGCACCCACAGGAGCTCACACAGATGGGGCTTTATTATAGAAACCACTTAATCCTGTTGAAGCCTTTCACCTAGAAGCCTTTGAAAAGGTCGACAATATACTTTTTAGCCCATATCCTAAAAAAGTGAAAGGTAACAGCTATTCATGTGAATCTGTACCTCCTGGGTAGATGTAGATTTCTCAGGCTTCTGAGACCTTGTAATACTAAGATACAGTAGTGAAGGAAGTGAAGAAAATCACTGAAAATAGTGTCGGCATTAGAAATACCTCTTCAAGCAGACACATCCCCACAGATTCATGGGGATGGAAGAAGTCCACACAGCAGTGTGGAGTGAAACTGGCCCAAGAACTTCTCTGACCTCTCTTCCCTGAGCCTCCTTCAGTCCCTGGCACCACTGACTTCTACTTTTTAAAAATACTGGTAATAAGGAAAAGGCCTAGTTTCCAATTTTTCAATGTACTATGAAAACTACAACTTTTCATTTCCCTATGTTATTTGGGTGGGGGTCCAGGGGTTTTCTCAGAAAGTATCTTTTCCTGATTATAAAGTTTGCATGATTACAAACACACTTGGAAAACACTAGAGTGTAGAGAATAAAATGTTGAGAGGAAAACCCTTTTCTTCCTTCTAAATTATGCATCAGCAGCGCAGAGGACTTTGTCCCTTACATCTGCTTTTCTTAGATGTTCTTCCCTGTTCCCACCCAGTAAAAGAAGATACTAAGCCCCAAACCCCACTGTGCCAACATCCTAAGGCTGCGTGCTACCTACCAGGCGGGAGTTCCTTTTCATATCTTTTAACTGGGCTGTCAGCTTGTCCAGCTCCGTCTGGTGAACCTCCAGATACTCACTGCAAAGATAAGACAAGATCTCACTGTGAACTCTCAAGGAGCAGATGAATCTGGTGTGGTTACTGACTTCTTCCTCTTGCAGGAGGGGCTGGGGAGCTGAAGTGTGATCTGCAGTTGGTGAGGAGGCTTTGGATTTTCCTTTTTGCATACGCTAGCAGCTGGACCTGATCCAGGCTGAAGGTCCGGAGATGAAGGACCAATGAGGGAGGAAGTGGGGAGACATGGATTGGGTCAGTCCTCAGTGTGGGCTCACAGATTTCTATCTGGTGAAACGCAGCCCTGACTGTAGCTATCTCACTGCATGCTAGGAGCATTTTACTGGGAGCAAACAAACCTGGTACCATATTCCAAGAGGTTACAGATTCCTTCAGCAGTCTCTACAATGGATCTGACTGACCAAAACATACTGGTGTTTTGAGTCTCCCTCACTGCCATAGGATGTGATGTGGAATCCCACATATTTCCCACCTTGGGACTCATTAAAGGCTTCCCTGACTACAGTGCAAGAATAAAACAGCTACTCCAGAAATAATCATTTAAAAAATGATCTCATCAGCCTCGCTTTTCTCCTGGTCATTTTGAAAAGGGAAAAGTTTTCTTTTTTTACAAAGTGCATTATCAGGTCCAGTGTTCTTACTCAAGTCCATTTTTCAAGGCCCTGTAGACCTCTTCCACTCTTTTTGGCTGAGGCTCTTTGGGATGGTTGTTGTTTTTGTGACCTAAATTGTGCATTTTCTTCAGTTTGGCCTGGGGCTTCTTGAGAGCAGAAGAATTTTCAATAAAGGAATTACACCTACAGGAAAGAAAAAGAGAAAAGAAATTGTGATCCTTGGGCATCCAAAAGGATTTGACCAAAGAAATGCCCTTTAAATCATTCTGAGCTCATATTAGCGAGCTTTGGGGCAGATAATGTACCCTCATACATTGATGGATCTGAGCCAGCCTACATTTGTTTCTTGGTACCAGATTTGTCAACTGCTGAAATCAGAAAGCTTAGCTGTGTGGAGGCAAAGTCTGGCTTCTGGGTATGTGCATTCAGAGTGGAGGGTGTTGCTCCACTAAACCCCCATAGGAAGCCAAAATAAACATTTCCAGGTGGAAATAACAGACAGGCAAAGGGATAAAATACAATTAAAGATATGGCACTGTGCATTATCAGATACAAACTGAGATAGAATGTAGGGCGTGGCAAAGGCCGCTGGGGAAATAAGCAGGACCTGTTAATTATAAGATCCCAGGACAGCACCAAATAATTCCCAGACCCCTATATGTACAACTTTTTGTGTGTTTCCATTAGATGTGGATGACATGTAAGTATACCGATATCACGAGGAACTCCTTATCATGATTTTTCATGGTAGCCCACTCTGTGTCTTTTAGACCAGGGTATACTTTTTTTTTTTTTTGCTTTTCTCTTTCCTCTTTTGTTTGCCCCAAGTTTTCTCTGCAGACACAATTTTTCCCTTATCCCTTCACTTCCCACTGTTAAAATAAAATTTTGGCACTCTTTGTGGCTTGTCTCCTTCAATTCTTTGTTCAAGGCAAGAAGGACCTGGAATATGTTTAATTGGTGAGACATTTCTAAAGGAACTACCCAATAACAAAACCTCTATTACATTTGACTACAATAGGAGACATTTTTTGATAAAGAGCCAGAAGGATAGCACTAGTTAATTCTATATTGTATTAAAGAAGAAAATCACACACAGCTGTAATGGATAGCTGTGTTTAAAGGCTAATTGTTATAAATTATATGTAGATGTAACACAAAAATACAAAATCTCAGGCTGGGGATTTAGCTCAGTGGTTCTGCTGCCTGACTCACAAGGCACAAGGTCCTGAGTTCAATCCCGGATACAAAAAAAAAAAAATGCAAAATCTCTACTTAGGGGAGGAATACAGCTTACAGTAGTAAAACAAACACCTGATGACCTAAAGCCAAACTACTGATCTGATTAGGAGACCAGGAGGCTCAAGGGCTCATGGACCTGGATCTCAGCGGAGAGCCAAGACTTGGGGCTGACAGGTGCCAAAGGTGCCCCTCCAGTCAGCTATCAGTGATGTTCCTCAGCTGCCACTCTGTGCATCTAGTTGGACTACATGGTCATAGCACATAAGGCAGAAATGCTGATAGTAAACTTCATGACATGTGTCTTCCCATTTTAGCAGAGGAGATCCCAGGGCAACTAGGAGGCTGTTTTGCAACTTCCATCTGAGTGGTATATGTTCCTTGGAGTCAGTCTGCAGGGCACAGTCTTTACCCACTGTATAACTTCACATTCAGCATAGTCTCCCAAACCTGAATGCAATGGAAAATGTGCTTCAAAAAGAGGCGAGGGTAGGGTGGGGAGAGGTCTGTACACTGATCACTAGCTTATCTTAAATTTCTCAGCCATCTGCCTTGAGGAAGGAGGTCTAAATGATGAGAGAAATGACAGCACCTAATTTGGGGTGCATTATCTTTTTCACGAAAAAGACATTAAAATAGCATGGAAGGGGCTGCTAGGCTGCATGCACACAGGCTGATCCTCTTCAGGACCTAAGAGCCCGTCCCCAGGCTGCACCCCAGGAGAGAGCCACCCGTACTTGCCTGGATCGTCTTTCCTGAAGGCCGCTGAAGCCTGCGAAGGACTGGCTTCTAATGATTCCATTGGGCCCGCCCGGCGAGAAGGACTGGGATCCTACCAGCATGATTTCTGGGAGCCTGGTTGGCAGTCCTATAAGATGGGAGAAAGATTATGGCAATTTACAGACAGGTTCAGACAAGAAACATACTAAGCTTGTCAACAATGAGATGGTGTGACACACATGTTGTGAGTCGAGAAGTCCTTGTCAAGAGATTCTTGTGAGATTCTTTTGAGATTCTTTCTGACAGCATGTTCTTTTCAAACCATAGGATTCAGCTTTTTGGTTAAAAATTAAAAAAGACACCCACCTACCCAGACCAAAATAAATATAAATCGCACAAAATTATCAATCACTTCAGATTTCCTTAAGGAATTCTGGTCTTTTTCCTCCCAAGTTCAATCAAGTTTCACTAAAGATAAATTTTTAAACATTTACCTCCACTCAACATCAACAATAACAACAACAACACCACCGCAGATAGGCCACATCAAAGTTTCAAAGAGGTCCTAAGTGAAGTCAAAACACAATTAAGCCTTCAGCTGAAATTCTACACTTATAAGTCACAACAGTAAAACACAAGCTTCCTTTAGAGATAACTTCTACTTGTTCTCCCTTTCTATCCTTAAAGTAGATTTCCTCTCTCTCTCTCTCTCTCTCCCTCCCTCCTTCTCTCTCTCTCTCTCTCTCCTTGGTACCGGGGATTGAGCTTGGGACCTTTCACTTGCGAAGCTGGTGACAGAACCACTTAAAGCCGATTTTGGAAATTAAAAAAACCCAGATTGTGCCAGCCCTGGTGGGTGGGGGCCCCAAAGGGCAGGGTCAGGCAGTGCTTACAAAAGTAGTGATTATCTAGGTTAGATAAGAAGGCACTATGAGAAGGGGAGAGGAAGATACAGCAGAACACGCACCGCTCACTGCAGCAGAAACCGATGCCCTGTTACAACACAGTGTCAGAGCAGTCAGGGCACAGAAGCCCAGGGTTAGTCCCCCTCAGGACTGCCCTGAACTGTGAGGCGATTCCACCCCTTGGCACCAGGCAGAGTCGGAGCATCACGATTGTCTCGGCAGGTGATTCGGTCCAGAGAGGGGCTTCGCTAGTGGGGAGAAGGCAACAGGGTCTGCTCTGATGCCTTCCAAATGAGTGCATTTGAGGAGCACAGATGATCACCCTTTAGAGATCCAATGAGAAAGAAAGAAAAGCTAAGAAATAAATGTGCCCTCCTCCCCACCAAGCTGTTGCAGCTTCTTTTTTTTCTTTCCTGCACCAGGTATCAAACTCAGGAACTTGTGTTTGAGAGGCAGGCCCAGTGCCACTGAGCTAAATCCCCAGCCTTGTTATAGGTTCTTAAATCTCCTCCCAGGACAGGAGAGAGCAGCTCTGGGACCTGGATACATTCTTTCAGGGCACAGGTGCTGACTCACTGGGCAACAGGCTTGAGAGGGGGCAAAACACTTGCTCTTTGATCTGTGTGGGACAAAAACCTCTTACCAGCTGAAGACAGGAATCTTCCGTTTGGGGGCATTCTCTAGAATTGTAAAAGTAATGAAGTGCAAGTATGTAAGAGCAGTAAAAGAAGTAAGGTAGTGGTAGGCAAAAGGCAGGTCTCAATAAAGCTTTCTCTGGTTACTTTTCCAAGCCCTGAGGCTCAAAAAGCAGCCTAATTCCTTTAATTCCTTGACGAGATGCTGGCAAATGCTCTCTGCTGGTTGCTAAGGGGACTGTGTACATTTCATTAAAGATACCTTCTTTCAGTTCTAAAGCATGCCTGTGTTGCATCACTCACAAACTTCTAATAAATATCAAGAAAGCATTGTGGTTAATGTTCTTTCTGTACTCATTTTTTTTTTTTATTGCTGGTGTTAAATCCGAGCCCTCATTCATGCTAGGCAAGTGCTCTGTCACTGAGCTATATCCCTAGATGATAACCAAACATCCATCTTAAATTCCCAAGTGGACAGATTTTATTAGTATGGTAATCTCATTTTGTAAATTATTTTTCAATAGTCTGCCATGTCATGGACATTCTTTGACCACAGAAAAATGCTTAGAGTATTTCAAATATTTAATTGTTTCACTGTCTTGTACTTCCTTGAAATTGTTTTGAAACAAAAAGGATTTTTTCTCTCTCCAATGCATCTGGCTTTAATCCCAGACACTCTGATTTAATGAATATGGGTATGACCCCAGCACGGGGATGTTTCAAATGTTCCAGGTAATTCTGGCGTGCAGCAAAGTTTGGGAGCTACTAAAGTTTAGAAGTGCTGATTACACATCAGTTGTAGTAGTGATAGGTGAAAACAGAAAGGAAGGCCAGTAAGAGAGCAAGGAAAGGGGCCGGGGATTTAGTTCAGTGGTTCCACCATCTGCCTTGGAAGCTCAAAGTCCTGAGTTCAATCCCCGATATCCCCCCACCCCGCCCTAGAAAAAAAGAAAGCAAGGAAAAAGGAAATGTATCAAGACAGCTGAACATTTACAACTTCTGGTAAAATATTCTGCTATAATTTATCAACTCTAACTCAAAAAAAGTTATTCAGTCTTAAATAAGGCCGTCTTGGAAGTTTAAGGATTTCATTATGTGAATTAAATGCTATCAAATAAAACACATGGCCCGAGTCATGAAATCCATTTTCTTCCTCCTTTCTCCAACACAGGTGGGAAGGGCTTTCAAGAGCAAAACAAGGATTTGTCCATACTACTAAGACTGTAAAACACTTTGGGAAGGGAAAGAAATGTTCGTTTAATTTTCATTCAATGGTCACGTGGAATAGATGAGCACTGGGCAGGTGACTGGGCTGATGGTTGTAATGTTCTGTTGTCTTTTTGTGCTCTCAGAAATGATTATTATCTATCAGAAAAGAATTTGGCTGAGAGCTGCCTCGGCCTGACATCTCTGTCTTGCCATCGATTTCCCTAAAGGGTGACACACTGCCTAAAGAGATGCATCAAACACGCACACATGCACATGTGCGTGTGCACACACACACACACAGAGCCAGGCTGGTGCAGACATAAAGGAGTAGGTTGGGCAGGGTTGGGTAGGGAAGAGCGCATGCAAGACCTCCCTCCTCCAAGCCCCTTCATTGTGCAGTGAGGATGACAGTTCCACCTAGTGCGTATCCCTTCCCCACAGGCAAGGTCTCAAACAGTTCCTGTTCTCCTTCTCTGATCATCTGACCTCTTATCACCCCAAGTCTTCAGACTGCTTCCCACTTTCTAGGAAGGCAGCTGCTTGCTTCCCAGCTTCCAGCAAAAGTACCCCTCAAACTACTTGGGTCAATTTTACCTCCATCAGAGTAATTTATATTTTAATAGCAGGTGCTCCCTTGGGTGCAGTGTCTTAACCTAAGGAAAGGACTAATAGAATCTCAGTATCACTGCTGGAAGGAGTGTAAAGTAGTATGAAAAACTGGGAGTTCAATTTGGCAGTATCTGTTTAAAACGTGAAACACTCTTACCTTTCTGTATTTCTTCTAGAGAAATACCCAAGCAGCAAAAAGGGACACACAGGGGTGTTCTTACAGATAATGTTTATAATAGCAGGAAAATGGGAAATGATACAGATGTTAGTCATTGGGGCTGGGGTGTACCTCAGTGGTAGGGCCCTTGCCCAAAATGCATGGGGCCTTGAGTTTGACCCCCAGTACTGAAAATAAAAATCATTACACAAATGGTTAATATACTGCAGCATAGCTACAGGGTAGAATACTATGTAGCAGTTAAAAATAATATGAACAATGCTAGGAAAAAAATAGACCCCCAGGACAAATCACAGAACACAACCAGGAATGTCAAAAAACAAAACTATGTCCATTAATAGAGGAGTTCTGAAAGTATATGGATAGATGGTTCATGGAGAGCCGGGGTAGAGTGGCAGGCAGCAGTATATTTTGATATTTTTTTGCATTGTAATTCTTACAGAGGGATTATATCACATCTTATTCATAAAAATTCCTTTTTAAAATTGCAGACACTTAGAAGTAGAGGAGAGAGCTTACATACAAGATCAAACAAGATAACACTTGGAGAGCAACTATATATAGTTATTTCTAAGTCTTTCAGAGGGGAAACATTATTCCCAAGAATAATGTATTAGGTTGTATACATTTTGGTTACATTCAAACAATTCAGATTCCCCCACAAGGTCCTTATTATGCATTCTGAGCTATGTAACACTATCATTTTCATTTGTAAAACTTTTAGAGACAACACCCCAAGTTGCTAAGGATCACCAAATATGATACCTAATAAACAAGAAATTCCATGTAAAACAGCAATTCATCTTTAGGTGGTGGTACTTACAGCTGCTGGGGCTTTGAGAAAAGCTTCCATCCTGTAAGTTACTGGCTCTTCCCCTGGTCTTTCTGAAAATTCTTGCCCGACTAGTATTTATTTTCGCCTGTTAAATCCCAGAAATGTTTTCTATCATAGGGAAAAAGCAAAGCTGCTCTGGTCCATATCTCACAATGCTGGTTATGGGAGGCTGGGCGGGGACACCAGCACTGACCCTTGGCCCCTTTACTGACACCACCAATAGGAACAACAAGATCTTTCTGGAAAGAATTCCAAGCACCTTGATTAAGAATTGAACAAACTCAGCTGCTCTGAGCCGAGCCTCCTGACACAGAAGCCTGAAAGCCACTTCTTGATTCTTCACAGTGAAAACTGCTGCTTTCTCCCAGCTATGCAGTGCCAAATTCAATTAAATGCACAGGGGGTCTTTGGAATTAAAGTAAATAGGAGATTTTACATGTTCTGCTCTCAACACAGTGATGCAGGTGCCCCGGGCCTTGGAGGAGGGGACAAGCCGCTGCCTGTCCTAGTGTTTGTGTCTCTGTAAATCAGAAGGAAGCTCATGAGAGCAGCAGGCCGACTTTGGGCAAGACCACCAAGCCTGTTATGTTACTTAGGGAGAAGGGGCCTGAGGCAAATAAAAAGAGATCCAGGAGTCAGGAGATTATTCCTCTCCCAGCAGGTCTGATGCTGTGATTGGAGCAGGAATAACAGGCAGAATGTGATTACAGCTCAGAGAGAGAAATATCCAGCTACCTGGAGAACCTGGAGAAGCCTAACTCTGAAGACTGATGCAGG